ATGGTCACATGTCCAAATCCCGAACAAGGCAAATTTTAACAAGTGACCTAGTTCTCATGTGGATCTAACCTCTAAATGGGTACGAGCAGTGTTGTCTTTTGCAGGGGCCTGGTGGACACATGCCTGGGTGCCCCACGATCATCTGTGTATGTCAGGTAACTGGTTGTTATAGGGGACCCCGCACACTGGTTTGCCCAGGGGTGCATAATGCTGTTAAGATGGCTCTGGGAATGAGGAATGTTCTGGAAAGGCAGCTAGTGTGATACTGACCTCCACCAGCTCTGTGTGGGTACTGAGGCCCCATAGAGGGGAAAAGGAGAACAGACCAACGCTTTTACTTCTCACATTTCATGGAACCCATTTTGGTACCTACTGAGCCAAGGTAAATTTAAAAAACAAAACAAAATCTGTTCAAGTGCTGTGTGGTGTATACAAATCTGGAAAAAGCAGCACATGCCACAAAAGGCTTGAAGACATGGATTATTTACTTTATAGCAAATCCCCAAAATGCAATGACAAGGAAAAGGGATAATCCATCTTTTACTAGTGATAAAGCTTTGTTCCATTCCCCCTTTTTTTAAAGAAATAAAGTTGGCCAATTAACACTAACATTAAAAAAAAAATTAGCATTTGACAATGATTTTTAACTATGGTAAAATGTTAATATTCGGAATGTTGAATTAAAAGCTTAAAGCTTTATAATCGTAATATACCACACTGAGAAATATAGTACACTAAGACATCTGATTCAACGCTGAAACAGACTTTGCTTTGAATAAACACAAAATTATTTAGCTAAATAAGTAAAATTAGGTCACATTTGGTTGGTCTTCCGCATTCATCTTTAAAAGGCTAGTCGGCACATCTGATTTCAGCAAACCTTTTTTTTTTGGTCGATTTTTTCGACATGCTTGTTAGGGGGCAGTAAGTTTATTCTTTTATCCCCCGGCCCTCAAAATTGGGCCGGTTCCTATACTATTTCAAGGTCTCACACACATGCAAATGCAGTTGTGGAACTGTAGTTTACTGAACAGTGGCACAAGATTTCTGTCAAAGGCTTGAGGGAAAGTTAAGGCCATTGAGTTGAGCTGAGTTGATTCAAGAACCGACATCACAGCACTCTGGGCATTCCCATAAGTGCTCCATCCCCATCTTTAGCAGTCAGTGAAGAGTTCCAATACTAATGGTGCCAGTAGCATTCTGATTAAACGTCCATCTTGCCTTTCCTCTGAGCCTTGAGCATCTGCCAGAACAGCCACTGTGCTGTGTATAAGCAGATACTCTCTACCTCATCTCCAGCAGATCCTTATGTAAGACTCCTGCCACATGCCCTTGCTGTACACCATGGCTAATGCCCTAATTGGTCTAAAGTGAGCAGGGGATCCCAGAGCTTGTAGCTTCCAGAGATGCAGTGTCCAGAAAGTCTGCTTCTTAGGTTCGATGTCCATCTTCAAGTGTCCTCCTATGTGACAAAAGGTTCAGGTGTCATTCACTTGATGATCCCACTTTACAACACAAAAGGTTCAGGTGTCATTCACTTGATGATTCCACTTTACAACACAAAAGGTTCAAACATCCGCAACCACTGACCATATGAAAGCTGTGCCTGATACATGCTTCTCATAAATGCTGCACAAAATGCGCCAGATCCCTGTCACAGAAACAAATCAAACTGAATAATAATGAAGCACAAATAGATCATTAAAGTCTGGACAAAATGGTGCGGTGGGGAGTGACCAGGGATCTGGCTGACACTCTACACTGACAGAAAAAACAAGAAAGACATAAATAATCAAACTGCTACAGTTCTTATTTCAAAGTGCAACCCAAATAGAGAGTAATTAGACTTTCATTCATGCTTTCTCACCTGTGACATGGGCTAGTCGATGTTACAGGGATGTGTGTCTCTGATGCTATTCAATGACACTGCTGTTAACGACCCTAGAACATACAGAACTGGCCCTAACCCCCCCCCCCCCCCCCCCCCCCCCCCCCACAGTCTCAGCCTAGGTACCACAAGAGAGTCCAGAGTAAGTCCCGTGGTTTTAGAATTGTTAACATTTTCTGCTGCGCCCTAAAAAAACCCAGTCTTGCTGCAGAAAAGCATCGCTCTCCTACTTGTCGCTTGTCAGTGCTGACCTAAATTCATGTCATACCTGAACTCTGTACTATACGCAATGTCACACTGCATAGCTATATATGCACAATATACAAAGCTCTTCACCAATATCAGACAACGTGACACCCCTCTAACATAGACTAGCTAGTGTCACAGGTGAGAAAGCACTAATGAAAGCCCAGTTACGCTCTATATGGGCTGGACATCGTAACAAGTTCCGTACCACCATCAATACAAGAACTATTAGCTGGTTGCTGAGAATGGGGACAGAGTACTTACGGGAATGTTCCAAGTGTGACGATGAAAGGTGTTTATTCTACTCAACCCAATAACCCATTACATGCCAAATGGTCTTTAAAAAAAAAATTATTCCTGGTCAGTCTGAAAATGTAGGCGGGTGCAAATGATACCAATGCACTTAGCTAGGCTTATTGAAGAAGTTACTGTAGAAAATATCGGTAAAGCTGCATTTAGGAGAGCATGGCACAAACCGGAAACATCAGGTCTGTAGCTTCTCGGAGTGAAAAGGTTAAGGAAAAACTGCTGGCTTTACACACAATTATAATGTAAGACGTTACTTGCCACTGTTACAATAATCATGTAAGAACAGATATATCATTAAAGCATAGTGTGCTTCTTTACATTAAATGAAGCAGAATATCACAAAAACAAAATCACAGAGTATTACTTTTCTGGGGTCCAAATATATACATCCGGTATAGAACAAATACACTGTCAGATTTATATTGACTTTCTGGCTTAATTAAGAACAACCACACATGTTCATGGTTTCACATAAAGAACAGCCTATCTCACATGTCATCATACATGTCAACTTAATTGGTACACACACAAAATAGCCTATCTCACATGTCATCTTGGTGAGTACATATGAAGTATTTATTGTCCGTCATACATGTTACTGTGATTGGTGCACAAAAAGAACAACCCATCTCACATGCCATCTTGATAATTACATGAACGAACAAATGAATAAACTTTATTTTCAAACAGTTGGAAACTGGGCAAGCAGGTCCATCTTCGATCAGCCCTTCCAAACACTCTTTCACACTGCAACTGTATATTATTCCTAAAGAACGTTATGTTCATATTTATGTACTTAAAAAGAATAGCCTATCACTAATGTCATCTTGATGACTACACATACAGAATAGCCTATACCACATCATCTTGATGAGTACACATAAAGAATCGCCCATAACACATATCATCTTTAAGAGTGCACATAAAGAATAGCCTATCATAATGTCATCTTAATGAGTACACATAAAGAATAGCCTATCATAATGTCATCTTAATGAGTACACATAAAGAATAGCCTATCATAATGTCATCTTAATGAGTACACATAAAGAATAGCCTATCATAATGTCATCTTTAAGAGTACACATAAAGAACAGCCTATCATAATGTCTTCTTGTTAAGTGCACATAAAGAATAGCCTATCATAATGTCTTCTTGTTAAGTGCACATAAAGAATAGCCTATCATAATGTCATCTTAATGAGTACACATAAAGAATAGCCTATCATAATGTCATCTTAATGAGTACACATAAAGAATAGCCTATCATAATGTCTTCTTGTTAAGTGCACATAAAGAATAGCCTATCATAATGTCTTCTTGTTAAGTGCACATAAAGAATAGCCTATCATAATGTCATCTTAATGAGTATGCATAAAGAATAGCCTATCATAATGTCTTCTTGTTAAGTGCACATAAAGAACAGCCTATCATAATGTCTTCTTAATGAGTATGCATAAAGAATAGCCTATCATAATGTCATCTTAATGAGTACACATAAAGAATAGCCTATCATAATGTCATCTTAATGAGTACACATAAAGAATAGCCTATCATAATGTCATCTTTAAGAGTGCACATAAAGAATAGCCTATCATAATGTCATCTTAATGAGTACACATAAAGAACAGCCTATCATAATGTCTTCTTAATGAGTACACATAAAGAATAGCCTATCATAATGTCATCTTAATGAGTACACATAAAGAATAGCCTATCATAATGTCATATTAATGAGTGCACATAAAGAATAGCCTATCATAATGTCATCTTAATGAGTACACATAAAGAATAGCCTATCATAATGTCATCTTAATGAGTACACATAAAGAATAGCCTATCATAATGTCTTCTTGATAAGTACACATAAAGAACAGCCTATCATAATGTCATCTTCAGAAACACACATAAAAACAGCCTATCATAATGTCATCTTAATGAGTACACATAAAAAAACAGCCTATCATACATGTCATTTTGATGAGTACACATAAAGAACAGCCTTACACAATAAATACACACTAATAAATGAGAAATAAACTGTTTATCATCAGGCAACATCACTGTATCATACCACTGTTGGTCAGATCACAAGAACGAGGAAAACAAACCAAAATAGATAATGGTGCATGAAAAACATCAGAGTTTCATCACTGTATTTGCCTATTCATCACAGCCAGTTTGTTACATCACACAATTAAAGTTATGACTGCACTAATTTTGCAAATATAATAAATTATAAGACAAAAATACAATAACACATAAATTATGAACACATTATGCAATTAAAATATTGAGCAACGTACATAATTCATCACATGTGAAGTCTACTTTATTGAATAAACCTGTTACGGAGAAAATTAAAATATATAACAGAACACTTCCTTTTCTTCTCTCTCTCCAGTTGCCTCTCCTAAGTGTTAGGGAAGTGATGCTAGAATCATCGGTGTGCGGTTTCTAATGCTATGCATAAGCTAGTCTTTTTTCCTTTAAGGTTCTTCTTGATGCCATCGCTGAACCGCTGGTAGAACACTTAAATAATGCAGCAGCAGTTTTAGTTATGAATACTCAAGGGTATGCCAGTCTACACCAGAGAAAAATGGGTGCGCTTTGATTTCTTCGGAACCTGCCATTCCTGATCCCAGCCTTTCGTGAGGGTTGTGGTTGAGTAGCTGAAAGGTGGTTAAAAAAAAGAGACAAGTTACAAATAAAATCCACATGTCAGTTTCACTATTTCTCCTTTTGCGTTTATCCTTAACCCTTTGGGGACAACGCGGCCGAAATTGGGGACAACGCGGCCGAAATATCGGTCCAACAGAAAGTAGCCAAAAGGACGACTGAGCCGATCGGTCGGCCCTATATAATAGAAGCCTTGATGTTGGCTGGCAGGTTTTTGTACCAGCCAATCAGACTGCTTCTCACATTTCTTGCAAATGCGGGCTGTTCACTGACGGATTCAGAGAAAGTTTGATGTATTCTGTAATTTTACAGCAATTTTTTTCTGGGGTTACCTGTGCCCAAAAATGACGAAAGGGGACTACTGCGTTATAGCAACTGAAACATAGCTGGAGGTATCAACATGAGCAGAACGATGTGCCAGACGTGTCTGAAGGGCCTTCAAGGGTCTTACTTCCCAAAATACAGGTTTTAGGACTTATTCAAGCTTATGTTTATTCCTAAGTTAAAAGTTTAAAAAAAAAATTGTTTGCATAAATTATGCAAATCAGAATAATTAATTTGAATAAATGTTGAGATTTCAGTTTGATTCATAAATATTCTGTTAGTTCATTCAAATTCCTAGATAAATAAATATAGTTTTGTATATGTTAATCAAACGCTTTATTTTGTATATTTTTGTTTGTATAAACTATGAGAATCCCCTCATGAAGGCTCTGTCTTCTTGGCACCGAAACTTTAAAAAGGCTCCGTCTCCAAAGGGTTAAAAGGGAAGCTGACAACTTCTTATTCTTATTCTTCTTTCGTTCGCTTGAAATAAATTATCTATATCTGCAACAAAAACTAGATTATCCTTTCTGGTATATATTTACTGAAGTCTGTCTTGATACTGAGTTGGAGGAGTCAGACAATAATAAAAGGTTCAAAGTGACTTCATTGCACTGGTTTTATCCCACATGGTTCACTCTCTTTTCACAAAATGGTATGGCACCTGCAAAAAGCATGGCACAAAGTACAAACTCCGCTGCTCCAGCGACAATGCCCAGAGATCTCCATAACAGTTGCACTCATGAAGTAAACGATATGGTATGTAAAATCAACTTACGATGTTTAAAGTCTAAGATAAGCATCATGAACACTTCAGCATGGAGACACTCAAATCCTAACCAGCCCAATCAATGGGTTAGTTGAGGGCCTATCACTACACAGATATAGGGCAGAATAAGATGAAAGTTTAATCCAGTCAACTCATATGTGCTATGCTGAATCATGGTCTGATTACACCTTAAGATCCTTCTATCTGAGGCACGATCAAATGATACCCCCACCCTAGCAGCTTTATCACAAATGTATTAATTGCATATCAGCGGATGAGGTGAAGTTAAACAAAGCAAGTGTTTAGTGTAGCCATTAGAACTGGTTTTAACTGATCATTTGTCGATTTGAAGTTTCAGTATTAATCTTGCAGTTTGTATGCTTGGAGAGGAGAAAAAGAGGTATGCAACACAGTCCCTGTGGAGACTTAAAGTTCCCCCATCAACTAACTCAGATTTATATCTTTATCATGGCTCAAATATCCTGAACACTTATGCACTAGACTTGCCAGTTCTGACCAAGTCTTTCTAAAGAGTCATCAACAGCGTAGTACTCGGTTTATCCTTACAGGTACCCCAGTTATAACTTCTTAGGAGGCTGAACAGGATATCTGTGATTTGGCCTTTTGGACTACCATAGAGGATGTTGCTTCTGAGGTGCAGGAGTGATCAAACCTCCAAGAAGCAGCCTGAAGGAAAAACACTGATAGGCAGTCCCTTTTCAGAGGTATAATTAACAATGTTGGTCCTTGTTGACTCCTAAAGCATTACTGCAACATGCATGCCCATGAGTGGACACATATGAATGACAATACACAACAGAAGATGGTAGTCAAGGAATGATTACCAATATCACATTGCAAAGACTCTAAGAAGACAAACTCATACAAGTGGTCACCCTACAAGTCGTCAGCTCAAATACTTGTTAGAGATAAGCACACCATTAAATTCTGTTTACTGATTTAAGAATCAATAACACAGCATACAAGGCATAGATGCTCCGTATCCCACACAGAACGTTTTAAAGTGTAGATGCTAAATGTTTCTGTAGTACACTGATTCTATACATGTCACTGTCTTCCTCCCCCTCCCCCCTTTGCAGAATTCGTATCTAATTTCTCATGCACACATTCTTACACAAGTTACTCCGTGTAACCTCATGTCTTCTACCAGAATTAATTCACAAATAGTCTGAAAGATCTCAAATAATCATTTATCATAAATGATACTAACCCCCTCAAGAAGTCCTCTTGCTTCACTGGAAACAAATGCGGGCACATAGAGACAGGTGTGAGAGTTGATTCCTCCCGGATGGCACTCAATCAGACTCTAAAATACAACAGTAAGTCAATAATACAACAGAATCTGCTAAATGAGAATATTCATTTCAAAAATAAATGTATGTTATATTCAGCATTTTGTTGTTGTTGCTGTGGCACCTTTTCAAATGATAGTGTTATATTGTACTCTTAAGAGGCATAGAATCACAGCTCAAGCAAGGCCATGGCACACTGTGTTAAGACAATTCCCACAAAATTAGAACATGGGATTTCAGGATTATTGTTGCCAATGCATGTATTTAATGTACTTCTTCTATATAAGATGCATACACATGACAAAATTGTAACAGACTCTGAAAGCATGCTGAGAAAGGTGAAGACAGGGTTGCTTCGAGCAGAGTGACAAGCTTCACTGGAAAGGTCATGGGCAGTGAGCATACTTTAGATCATTTCTCCAGGGTATGCGGGCGTGGTGGGGAATGAACAGGCAGACAGACTAGCTGGGTCTGCACCATTGGGTGGTGAACTGATACACGACAAGGCAGATGTAGTCAAGGCCCTTTGGGAACAAGCAACTAAGTCAGATGAGAAACAATATTATAATTGCCTGAAAAGAATGACGCACCTGGGTGTGACTAGAGGGTCTGACAAGCTCACCACATTTAGAGGAAAGGCAAGACAGACATATAACCAGACTATAACTGGTACCACCAGTATTTGACCTCTGTGCTTGCTGCTGAAGATGGGAACAGAGCCCATATGGGAATGCCTCAAGTGCTGTGATGCCAATTCTTGACTCACTTCAACTCAACTCTTCTCATAGGCTAAGCTCGTAATATATCTGCAATAATTTTCTCCTTTTCTCCTTTGCCTTCCTGACCCCCTTTGTTAGCTGTTTCTTTGAAAGCACAATTTCTCATGTGGGTTCCGGGGCCCCATTTTGTGAGTGTAAGGAAAAGACTCAATACTTTCCCATACCCCACTAAAAAGCATGTCTTAAAGGGATTTACTGAAATTAGATATGTGGTCCACTAAAAAGCATGTCTTAACTCTTTGAGTCCCAGGGGGTTTAGCATCAGAGGCCCAAGGGGTGGTAATGCAATTTTTTAATTTCACAAGAGTAACACATTAAAACAGACCATACTAATTCAATTGCCGCACAACATACACACATTATACATCAAAGTGACCAGGGATTGTTGAGGAATAATTTTAGAATGGAGTTAAAACAAATAATTGTGTTAGTAATTAAATATTAGTAAATAAACAGACGTTATGTTTACAAAAATTTGTAAAATGAAATTTAAAAAAATTCCACTTACCAAGGAATAACTGGTTAAAATGTATCCAAAATGAATCACAAATGAATATGAACCACTTAGTAATGTATAAGTAAAATATAAACTTAATCTATACATTAGATCTTGTTCCAGAGAATCTTGTGAAGCATCATAACAGAGCACCATTATTTGGTAAAGAAAACTGACTTCCCAAACATTTAGTATCTTCACACAAAACAAAGTTTATATAAAACTCAATTTGCCTGTAATTTTGTAGCTATGTTCCTAAATAATGAGGGGAATAGCACTAGAACTAACTGACAATAAAGAAAATCGTCTTTCCACTAATGTTTATTCTATTTGTGCAAGCTGACTTTGCTATTGTTGTACCCTTCGCATGAGGTACACATTAGACATATCCCTCATCAAAGTTTGACTCTATAAATGACTGAAACATGCCTAATTTGCAACATTATCTAACTTTGGATAAATCTGAAGAAAAAAAAAAACCAAAAAAAAAAACAAACATGTACTTCATTTAAATTTGAGGCTTCTAAAGCCATAAATCATGTTGGCATGCACGTAGAATAGTTCTTGGCGGCAATTTTCTTTTCAAACAAACACTCAGTACCTTGGGAATCTCACAAATATACTATATTTTCGGCTTTCAACCCATAATTCTGAACGAGCACGCTTGATATCAGACACAAAGAACTCAAAAAGAAGTTGAAATTGGGTGGTCCGCATTTTACAACCGGTCAGTGGTAGATTAAAAACCATCACTTGTCACGCGCCGATTGGGCGTCGCGGTTGTAACAAAATAGCGCGTGATGCTTTCCCTGGGACTCAAAGAGTTAAAGGGATTTACTAAAATTAGATATGTGCTCCACTAAAAAGGATGTCGTAAAGGGATTTACTGAAATTAGAGGAGCTGGGCTCAAAGATGGCTGTAAACTACAAAACAACTTGTCAACAGCCCCTTTCAGGGCGGAATGCAGAAGAAGAATAGACAATGTTATCTTACTATATGTCAGTAATACATATGACAGAAAAACAATGACAACTTTATTTAGACTTATAAATTAAGAAACAAAAATCTTTACTGGCAAAGAACTAAAACTTACAAATTTAAAAAAAAAAAAACATTCTACTGACAAATCTACCAAGATGAAGTAGAACAAAAAACAAAAACGTACACAAATTCTACTGACAAACATACCCGTCCAACTATAAGCTCATAAAGCAAAGCACCAATGCTCCACCAATCACAGGTCCTGTCATAACCACTCACTGAGCTGACCTCTGCAAACACGTTAATGGAAACTTTCAATATGGTATTCTTTTCAAGGTTTCAGCAGATAGGGAGAATTTGGAAGAGGATGAGATGTGGTTTTATGGATGAATGATGAGAGAAACACTGTTGGTACAGCACTTGTAAATGATTTAATGGAACATACAAGAATAAAATGGTTTGGTCATCTAGTCAGAATGTAACAAAATCAGCCAGCAGTTAAAGTGTACTACATGAGAACAGCAGGCTACAAGGCAGGAGGTTGACCAAGAAAGAGATGGGTGGAGGGAGTAAAAGAAACACTGAAGAAACACAATATGTTCATACAAGCTAGGCAACTAGAAAAAGACAGAAAACTCTACAGCCAGCTAACTCCTATCTGTGATGCTTCACAGCTCTGCACCACTTGGTGGTGAATTGATGTTTGACAAGTTAGATATTGTGAGGGTGCTTTGGGAGCGAGTAAACAGTGCAGAGGTGCGACAGATCATTACAGTCTAAGGAGAATGGCGCTGCAAGGAGTCATCAGGGGATCTGCCCGACGCTCAACATTCAGGGGAAGGATGAGATGGATCTACAATCAGACGGTTTCTGGTACAATTAGAATCGGAATTCTAAGATAAGGACTGAGCACTTATGGGAGTGTCCCGAGTGCTGTGATGTCGATTCTTAATTCAACATTCAAAGCAAAAGCAGTAGGACAGAAGAAGAAGAAGATAATAGCATTATGGAGAGTGAAAAGTGTAATGAAAATGGCTTCTGAAAACTCTGACTCATGGAAAGATCTGGTTGCATCCAAGGAGGATGGTCCATGTTTTCCGGGTGTGCAATGGGGGAAAAGATTGGAATACATCATGAAAACAGGAAAGTTTAATGAGAAGAGGGGCGTGGCGAGACCAAGACAGAAGATGTCAGACAGTCTCTATAAAGACATTAAGTCTTCATCTTCCTCTTTTACCACTTTGGGTGTCAAGGTGGATATTAGGTCCTGCTTCGTGCTCTACTGGCTGCTTCAACCATAGAAACATCATGGTGCTGATGTTATCTTCCCATATTTTTCTTGTCTGCTTCTTGCTCTACGTCCTTCTCTCTTCGTATATGCCTTGTATAGTATAGCATCAGGAGGCATTCTCTCCAAGTGGGCAAAACATTTGATTTGCTGTCTTTGTACGTAATTTAGAATTGGTTCTGTGCCGACTTTATCTTGTATAACATAATTGGCAGTACATATAAGGCCATGAACAGGCATGATGACTGCAACCACAAGACTGGAACCAAAAGGAAGTGTCGTATTAGTCTCCGGACACCTGCAAAGGTCGTTTCACTAGATCCACCTTCAAGCAATTTTATTGTGGGTTTTTTGCCTCATTGATTTAAGTTTTGGAAATGGCTTCCAAACCTGTTCTTCGCAATATGCTTATGAATAAGAGAAAGGTGAACTTTGTTATTGCACTGACTTCAGCACTGGTTGTTTCAGCAGCTTTCAGGTTCGGAACACAGGAGAAAGAAGAAGATTGATGAGTTCTTCATGAATTATGATGCTGATGCAGCGTCTGAAAGAATGCAGAAGGCTTTACAATTCTGCTAAAGAGGAATAATGGACTTCTACACACATGAGCCAAGATGTTCTGTGATAGCATAGTTTGGAAGCAGCAAACAAGAGTGACTTGTTGAATGAAAAACAAAAACATAAGAAGTGTTGTTTCATAAATTCTCATCTCCAGATTTAAAAAACAAAACTCGCATTTTAAGTAGGTAATAAAGTAGCTTACATTTATTTAAAAAAAAATTAAGTTATTGTAGTGAATCACTTTCTCCTCGATAATTTATGTTTGCAGCAGGAATGACGTCAGATCATGAAAATGAATGATGTATTTGAATTTACTACGAACGAACTGTGGCGCGTGGAAAATGCTGGCCAAACTAGGAAAAACTGCTTAGCCCAAGGCCAAATGGGAGAGCATAAGAATCACGGGCGTGGGTGAGAAAGATTATTTAATGCTGAAAGGAGCTAGAATAGTTAGTCTTGTTTTGGGTTCCAATAATGGTGTGTCTGTGGTACAGAAAGATGAATCAAGTTCCAAGTTTATGAATGAACCAGATTTGACTGCAAGTTTTTAAATCAAACCCGGCTATCGTTCATTTGGCAATTCTGGTCTAGACCAGACCGGACATGTTGTTGTTTATTCAGCGTGGAAGATTGTGACTGTTAAATTATCGCCGTCAGATTATTTACGAGTTATTCGTTCTAAAGGTAATATTTCTTTAAACTGTATTTTGCCATCTGTTGTGCTGCGATCCCTGGACTGTTACCGCAGGGCGTATTGGTTTGGAGGCGATTGTGTAACTGAATAAAAATTGACATAAGCATCAGCTGTTCATTGGCAGAGTTGGTGTTTCTGTGAAGTCTGCAGATGACTGAAGCCAAGAGAGTGATAGAAAGAGAGACACTGAAGTTAGATAGTCATCAGATACACAAATTTACCAACCAGGTGCTGCATAAAGATTCTGTACAGCTTCCCAGTCCAGCTCTGGGTCGCCATGACCTAAGCTGCAAAAGTAGGTCAAATACACCTGTCCACCATCGCCCAATAGAATGTTACTTGGTTTCAAATCCCTGCAATAATTATTTACAATGAATGTTTAGTAATACACTCATTACATATTTTAATGTAAACATCTGAAGACACTAGAGTATCCTGGAACCCCCCCCACCCCCCCCCCCCCAGGATTCTCCGTGGCAATGTGGTCAAGCCGCTTGTATCACTCTCTGAAGGTCGTATCACGCTCTGAAAGTCGTGGGTTTACTTCACGCCCGCGTCATTCAGTTTACGAGTAAAAATTTTATAGAGATCCCTGGGGAACTGTTGCCGAAGGTACGGTGGTTGTGCTCTATACGACGCTCTTGGCAGGCAGTTAGCTGTTCCATGGAGAGAGAGACTGAGCCATATGTGATAAAATCCGGTGCAATAAAGTCGATCCTCTCACCTTTGCTTCTCCCATCCCATTTAGAAAAAATCAAATGCCCCCTAACAAACATGTCGTAAAAAATGAATAATTAAGAGTTTGCAGAAATCAGATGTGTTGGGCCAAAAGGTGCACACACAGTAGCCTATGCTGTAAACCACAACATAGCAACTGCCCTTGTATGAGAGAACGCAAAAGTAGAAGACAAATCTTCTCACAATTGTTTATTGACAACACTCACAGAGAAATACTGGAGCTATGGATCTGAGCCTAATGTGACACTCTTGGTTGGCAAATAACTGCTCTGCAGTACGAGGCCAAGCCACATGAGATAATTACATCAAGTACAAACATCTCAGGGAGCTGTGGTAACACAAAAGGTAGATGCTTACCTGTTGGCCCAAAGGTCTTGGGTTCTTATCTTCAACAGAACGGACTCTTTTTCATAACTGACCATGGCTTCAAACCTAAAACGGGTACGAGGCAATGTTCTGGGACGTAAAGGTGGTCAGCATAATGTTGACCATATCAGTTACTGAGTGTCGATTGGTCTATAAAATATTCTTTGCCTTTGCAACAAAGCAACTGTCTTGCCTTTAACCACCCTTTAAGCTGAATTAACCAAAAGCTGCGTGACATGCGCTGAAGTGCCTGAATGAGTATTTTTGTTGTTGTTGCTGCTTCCATGATAAGCTTTGGCTTTCATGATGAGTTTTAGTTTCCATGACAAATGCCACAGTGGTTTGAAAACAAAAAGTGGCAGGAAACATGGTACTAAGTAAGATGGGCAAGGGCCGGCCAGCATGAAGATAAGCATGGAACATAAGATCTGAGTTTCTTCTAGGCGGGATGTGATAGCAGCATCTATTATGTTAAGGGCCTGCTACATGATGTTGAAAATGAAAACATTTCACTGAACATTGTTAGTATTACTGTGACTGGCGAGGTCACATGTTCTTTAAAATATAAAATGGAACAACTGCAACATTAGCAGTCAAGAAAGAAGGTTAGTAAATGATGTTATCCCACTCTATACTGATGTTATCCCACTCCATACTGATGTTATCCCACACCATGCTGATGTTATCCCACTCCATACTGATGTTACCCCAATCCACACTGATGTTATCTTACTCTATACTGATGTTACCCCACTCTATACTGATGTTACCCCACTCCATACTGATGTTATCCAACTCCATACTGATTTTATCCCACTCCATACTGATGGTATCCCACTCCATAATGATGTTACTCAGTATGTAGGATTTTCTAAAATTGTTCACTCCTGCGCCAGTACCTTCTATGGAAATAACTTCTTAGTGTACACCTTCTTGTGTATATGTTACTAGAACAGTGGTGGAGGAGGAGAAGCAGTAGAAGATTAAGAGGAAGAAGCAGGAGAGGAAGATGCATAATGAGGAGGAGAAGTAGATGAAGAGAAAACAGGAAAACAGAAGAGGAGGGAACAAAAGGAGGAGGAAAAACTGGTGGTGGAGGAGGAAGAGGAAACATACTTTTGATTTATTCTCTTACATGTGAGGAAAATGAGAGAAGTGCACAAATACCATCATTACCTACTGCACTTACCTACATATAATACCCAGTGAATGAAGTCTTGAAACAGCAGTAACCAACTGGGCCATCCACTTTCTTATGCTGGCTTCTGGAATCTGAATCTGCTCTTTGTTTGTTGAGTCCAACCGCTCAAACAAATCAGATACTGCTCTAGCTCTATTACGGGTGGGAGATTTCAGGTCACACTCAAAAGATGCAGATCTCGTCATGTCTTTTGAACTAATGCGATTTAGAGACAGCTTTCGGGGAGTACTAACATGTCTAAAGGAGGCGCTAGTAATACTGGCTGCTACAGAAGACTGACGATTTGCACTTGTATTTTCTGAATCCTTCTTAATGAAAGGGTTTTCAGACTCTTCATGAACAGCAGAATCTTTTGCAGTGACAGGTTCTACGTCAATATTATTAGCTGTAGCAGCCATGTTATTTATTGATGTATCCATACCCAGGTCATTCTCAGCTGGACTGAAAGGAACTTTTCTAGATGATGACGGCGAGTGTACAGAGCTTTCTGCTGTGATATCTTCTGGGGATTTATTTGTGACTGAGTTACTGGTTTCTTGAATGATGTCATCTGAATAACAAGAATGGGTCTCTAAACAAGCACAACTCTGTGGATTCTCAACAGTGGATATGTTGTCATTGTCCTGACTTTTATCATACATTTCTGCTACTAAGATTTCTTCTGAATGCTTTGGGAGCTCATCAGAATGTCTTGTTAAGTCTTCTGAGTTGTCAACAGAAACCAGTCTGCTAGAAATATTTTCTGAGAAAACACCATCTGTACATGCATGTTCAGCTTCATCTCTGGAATTCACTGGAAGTGTTTCTGCTACCAGGTTTTCTTGTGAATGCTTAGGGAGCTCATCAGAATGTCTTGATAAGTCTTCTGAGTTGACAACAGAGACCAGTCTGCTAGAAATATCTTGTGAGAAAACGCCATCTGTACATGCATGTTCAACTTTGTCTCTGGGATTCACTTGAAGTGTTTCTGCTACCAGGTTTTCCTGTGAATGCTTAGGGAGCTCTTCAGAATATCTAAGTAAGTCTTCTCTGACAACTGAGACCAGTCTGCTAGAAATATTCTGTGAGAAAACGCCATCTGTACTTGCATGTCTGACTTTGTCTACGAAATTCACAGGAAGTGTTTCCTTCCGTGAGAGATGAAACACTTCATCAGCGCTAATTTGGCGGGAGGTGACATGTTTGGCTGAGCTAACATCCTCGCAATGTTCTGTTATGCTGTGTGTTCTCTCATGAAAAGATAAACTATTACGACTGGTATCCTCGCTGTCGATGCTGTTGATTGAGAAAGCTTCTAAGTTTCCACGGTTTTCATGCAGAAGAAAATGAAAATGGTCTTCATCGATGGACGGTGACACCGCACAAGCTTCATCTTCATATGCTTGTGCGCAATCATCAGAAAGGCTTGAAAACCTCCGGTTCCGTGACTGCTTTTTATGTGCATGCTTAAACACATCATTCAAATCTGAATCATCAAACCTGTCATGGCTCTCTGAAATATCAGGAGAAACCATGCCTTCAGCATCAAAGCTTTCATCATGGCAAGAATCCTTGACTACAACATCTACTGAATATAATTCATGCTTCTCTCGTAGATCTGAAAATCTCATCACATCGATGGTCTCTGCGGACTGGACATTACCTCTGGAAGCGCCTTCAAAGCTCAAATCTCTATCTGCTTGTCGTGAATCAGTCTTTTGTTTAAACACATCAACTGACTCTGCAGCTACACTGTCTAATTCATTAATGCTTTTATTGGCCGTTTCAGGTTTTCCTCCAGAATAGATGTTTCTCACATTAGCCTTCATGGTGTTTACATCCATGTCTCCATTGGCTTGGAGACCCCTGTCACTATTCAAGTAATCCCCAATGTATGTCCAGAGTTTTCCCCCACTGGCATACTGGAGAAGCAAAAACACGGAATCATCAGTCTCATAGAACTTGTGTAGGTTGACCATGTAAGGGCATGAAGTTGGAAGAATACTTTGTGTGCGTACAACATCAGGAGTGGACTTTGGAACTGACTATTAAGGGAAAAAAAAACATATATTTGATAATGCGTAGCTTGATTTTTTTTTTTTTTTTTTTAAAATGTGGGGGGGGGGGGGGGGGGGGGGGAAAGGGGGGGGGGGGGGTGTGTGAACAAGAGAACAAATAATCTAAAAATTCTGTAAAGATTAATAAATAGCCATAACAAATTTTATTTTTTTAAATTCATGTATCTGAAAAGAGACATATTAGCAATGGATATTCTAGACTAATACTAAAATACAGATTCCGTAATTTAATTTAAAAAAAAAAAATATATATATATATCTAAAAATGGGGGATTAAAAAGCACAAGACCGGAAACTAATGCTACCAAGACTCAACTATGGTCATTAGAGCTCTATTATATTTTCTGCTGACACTTTAAAATGTTTACACCACTATATGATACACCATAAAAAAAAAAAACACCATCATTTTATAATCAATGGAACTGGAATTCAACTGTAAGATACCATCTAAAGATGAAAATAGGGAAGCTATCAATCTAGTGAAAGAATGGAAAGCTACAGGTCCAGATGATATGCCATCAGAAAGTTAACAAGGCCAATATAAACACATCTAAGAATTGCTAAACAAATTATTCATTAAAGACTGGGAGTTAACCTCAGAGCATCCTGGCACAACAATGTAACTGCTTCCTGTCAGACAAGACCCTTTGCCATATTCATAGTAACCACAGTCTTCATAAGCAATACATACATGTATAGTGCAAAACATATATGAACAGATAAAATAGAACAGACAAATTGTTAAAATATTGTAAGAAATTTACACATGCTGCCATAATTGGAAACATTCTTCTTCTTCTGCATTTACCCTTGAAGGGTGTTTGGCACAAAGAGTTGTGGTTTGCAGCTACACTGCGATATCTAGGCCATTTTGCCCAACACGTCCAATTTAAACATAATTAATTAGTCATTTTTTACATGCTCATTAAGGGTCAATTCTCCCCCTCCCCTAAAATGGGGCTCCGGAACCAAACCAGGAAATACCAGCAAATAAAAAAAGCACACACATACAAAAGTTAGTAACAGTTTACCTTTATCACAAAGGTCTCATCTGTGACCTTGTCCCGTACTAAAACTACTTTGTCAATGTAGCCCAACACTTGGAAGTTACGAAGTTCCCTTACAGAGCCCCTGATAAACGCAAATGAAGGATCTAGGTCCAGCGACGGCGAGAAAAAGCTGTCTACCTAAAATAAAAATGGTTAGAAAGTTTAGTATCTTCTGCTATTTAATTTAAAAAAAAAAACTTGAACAAGAAGGGATGCTGAGAGACAGCAGCTCCTAATAATAATCATCATCATCATCACTATCCTGTTGTTCCATTATATGTCACACAGGGCTTGCAGTCTAGTCCCCCATTTTGTTTTATCCTGTGCAATCCCCTTGATACCATGGATGGAATCCAGTCCAGCAACTCTGGCCTCTCTCGTCAACGTTCATTTCAGGGTTTATTTTTGGACATCCTTGTTTCCTCAATCCAGTTATTTGTCTTTTTTTTTTCTCTCTAGTGATTCTCTGCTCAATTCTTCTAAGGGTGTGTCCAGTACAGTGCCAGCTTCTCTGTCTTATAACTGTTGTTTATAGTGGTTGCAGGTTGCCGAGACAATTATCTTATTTCTTCACCCCTCTTGAATTTATCCCATTTTATATTTAACATTTTCCTCAGGCCTTTGTTTTTGAATGCCTTTAATTTAATATCCTAATAATTGCTAACAAACATCACTCACTGTTTGGTGTCTCACAAGCGCATGCATGAAAGTATGGGAAACTGGGTTGGGGGGGGGGGGGTAGGCTGCTGTAGACCTGATATGATGTATAATTTCTTTTTTCTTCTTCTTTGTTTGACATCAGGCATGCTAACATCAGGCCGTGTCTGGGTCACAAATAGGACTGCATTTTAGGTTGCCGCTGGTTCCCCATTACATCTCTTGTAATATAGCTCTGTTGGCCAGATGCCCTATCTCTGACAGAAACAGTTAGGGCAATCCTTCAGTACATAATCAGGAGTCTGTCTGCTTCTCATTTACAGATGGCAGATTTTTTTTACGTCTATTTTGTGTAGGTATGTTGGATGACCATAGTGTTCTATATGAAGCATAATATATATATATATATATATATAGAGAGAGAGAGAGAGAGAGAGAGAGAGAGAGAGAGAGAGAGAGAGAGAGAGAGAGAGAGAGAGAGAGAGAGAGAGAGAGAGAGAGAGAGAGAGAGAGAGAGAGAGAGAGAGAGAGAAAGAATACACCCTGCTTCCCAATGTCACCTGCAATTTTTTGTTGTCTTGAAGACTTAACCTGGCTGTTGCCAGGGACCCTAATATAACCCAACCAGTGGGTTGAACAGGGTTTATGGGATTTGTCCCCTGGTGATCCTCATCCAATTGGTGGCACTTTGTGTCACCGAGTTTTCTATCACTCAGTGTGATGTCCTGGTGGGATTAAACGTCAATCAATCAGTCATAAAAACTGTTGTTCGTTTGTACCCTCCTGTTAAGTTTGTGTATGCAGAGCATGAATGAAGACCATCCAAAAAAAAAAAAAAAAAAAAATTAAACCAGGAAGCCCAAGCCAATTGAAAACAAATTCTAGTACAAATAGTTGTTATAAATCCACCTACTCCCCATCTCCGTTCATCTACATTTTCATCTGCCAAATATCTGTTAAAAAGATCCTCTGCTTTCATTAAGTACTGTGCTGTTTTTCTTCTGACTGCATCTCTTCTCGACTGATTTGTGTCACCTGGAATTAAAAGAAAACTGCATAAAATTTAGCTGTTTCAACTTATTGGGTATATGCTGCTGGCCCTGCATTGATATATGTACATTCATATACCGTATTTTTTCACATATAAGATCCCCACCCCCAGTTTAAGACAATCCCTAATTTTGTGTGTGTAAAGTCCAGAATTAAGAAACAAATTTTAAATACATTCTTTGTATAAGACGACCCCCAATTTTAAACTTTAAAACTTTGGGAAAACATATTCGCTTATCTAATGAACATTGAATTAAGAAATAATATCATAGTACTCGGGACACTCCCATAAGCACTATGTCCCCATCTTCAGCAGCGAGCAAAGAGTTCCAGTTCCAACTGTACCAGTATCTGTCTTGATAGTATCTAATGAAAACTATGTAACATATGATATGATTTCTATTTAATGTGCTTATTCTCGGGGCTCAGTTTTCAACCTATCTCTAAGCATGTTTTAAGTTTTTTCCTATTCTTTATTTCCTTCTTTCCTGATTCATGTAACAGGGTGAATAGCATTCTGTTCCCATGAATGACCCTCAATACCTCTATCATTTATGTCCCGCTTGCATACATCTTTATATTATAGTAGAGGCCAATCACAGAATCTTTGATCCATTATAATTCACCAAAAGATGCTCTTAAGGACTTTACCACCATCCATCTTCCTAGCCAGATAAGTCTTCAAAGACTGAGCACTGACAAAACAGTTGGGGTGATACCCAACAATCAGTGACATGGTATATGCTTTAACTAGCCTTCCTCCCAAACAAAATATTCAAGTAAACAATAAAAATATTCAAAAAATCAATGTAATCTTTCCAGACACACACATCTTTTATTTCACCCTTAACAATGCAACAGAATAGACATCATCATGGTCTGGAGTCTTCTTCTTCTTCTTTCGTTCGCCTGAAATAAGTTGTCTATATGAGCAATTTTGTCTCTTGTATAAATTTCACTGTTGTTGTTAATTCATTCAGTGGTCCATAGAGTTTACGTTCCACTGTTGTTCTTTCTGGCCAAAAGGTTTGCCTTAATGTGTCAAATTTGTGTACATGTGGTTATGTAATCGGTTGTGCCCTGTTCTGAGGCGGAGGATAATGACTTGTTCTGATCTGCCCAAAATAAAATAGTCGTCTTGTGCTGGGGCTGGTGGTTTCCTGATCGATTTAATGATACTTTTTTTTTTGGGTGGTATGTGACTGGTACATCCGGCTGCACTTTTGTCACACCTTCTCCTGCCAGTTGATCAGCTTTCTCATTTCCAGGCACTCCACAATGTGATGGTATCCACTGCATTACAACTCTTCGCTGCTAAGTTGTGTCAGCAGTGTTTGCAATTCTGGTAGTTTCCTTGACTGGAGTGCTTCAAGTACTGATTTTGCATCTGTCAATATTACTACATACTGGGAGCCAAGATTGGTATTTAGCAGTTTCTATGTTGCTATCTTGATAGCCTGATGGTCTGGAGTGACTGGTGCAACAAGGAGTGACCAGGGTATCTGGCTGATAGTCAACACTCATAAGAAAGGCAAGACTGAGAGACAGTCAGACCGCTAATAGTACCATCAGAATTGAAATTCTGCACTGGCTGCTGGAAATGGGGACAGATTACTTATGGGAATGTCCGTCGTGCTGGGAAGTCAGTTCTTAACTCAGCTCAACTGGAATACACATTTATATTTACAAAACATTTACGCAACAAATACTGTTTCCTTGCTCTGCTTCTCTTATCTATCCATAGACCACAGGCTCTAATCTAAACCAAGCCTTCAACCCTATTGTCCCGAGAGGACTAAATCTAGTTCAGTGGTTCACAACTTTCCTAATGCCGCGATCCTTTAATACAATTCCTCATGTTGTGGTGACCCCCCAACAGTAAACTTATTTTCGTTGCTACTTTATAACTTAAGTGAAAAAGTGTTTTCCGGTGGTTGTAGGCGACCCCCATCAATGAGTTCATCGACCACCCAAGGGGTCACAACCTACAGGTTGAGAACTGCTCAACTAGTTGCTTCCAACTTTGACATGGTTGTGTAAATGCTGACATATCACCATGCCTATACTGACCTGTTCTTGTCGTGTAAATGCTGACATATCACCATGCCTATACTGACCTGTTCTTGTCGTGTAAATGCTGACATATCACCATGCCTATATGCCTATGCTGACATATCACCATGCCTATACTGACCTGTTCTAGTCGTGTAAATGCTGACATATCACCATGCCTATACTGACCTGTTCTTGAAAAGCGTAAATTCCATTGGTTGTTTGTGCGCTTGCATAGTGTTTAATAGGTCAGGATATAAAAATAGTCACTACAAATAGCATTTAGAGGGGTTTCATTATGATCCCAATGGCTTTTATAAAGCCGAGCTGATGTCAAATTTGCCTATAAGCCTCAGTGTAGAGCTCACGACATGAATCACCTGATACATATTACATTTTTTAAGGTCCCGGGGACGGAAAGGGGTCACCTGACACCTATTACTTTTTTTTTTCAGGCTCCGGGGATGGAATGCATTTCATTAAATTCTTCAATTTGTGTTTACTGATTATCCGTTTATATATATATTTTTTTTTATATTGTATGTGTGTGTAAGTGTGTGCGTATACAATATCAACAATTGTTTTTGGACCTGTGTGTAATGGTTGTTTAAAAAAAAAAATTATTTAAGGTTTTTCCCTTGGGAATATTCTTCTTTAGGTTATGTGCCATACTGTATTGCCATCTACATCTTAATTACGCGCCTTTAATTTTTCAATCTCCTGTGTTTTGGTAAAATCTGTCAAATTTTAACATGGCTCAAATATTTTATTAGTGTTAACACCATCAAAATATTTTACTCACCTAATTTTTAATTCATTCATACTACAGTGGTCTTCAAAGTACGATGCAAAAGGAAGTGATCTGAAAATCTGAACAAAACTGCTTGCTCAAAAGAAAAAGCCAGACAAACATATAATCAGACTGCAACTGGTACCATTAGTATTGAAATCCTGTGCCTGCGACTAAAGATGGGGACACAGTCCTTAAGGGAATTCACTCGATATGAGTCATTTGTAACTCACATTTTCATTCCAAGCTTTCCAAGAGGCTCTTATTTGTAATTTTTATAAATAAACTAAACATAAAACACACAAAAATGTAAAATGTCAGCACCTTGAACACCCTGAAGAAGAATGCCCACACCACTTTTATAATAAGCAAAAGCAATTTCATATTCTCCGTTGACTTCACTATTCTGGGCCATACTGATGTGATTTGCTGCCAGATAAATGTAGTCTTCTTTGCCTGCAACAAGAAATACAAATGATGTTTCATTTAAGACACGGGTAAACTTTGCTGCAATGAAAACATCCCTTGGACACTAAATTATCAGAAATCATCTTTCAAGATTGTTTGTCTTTATCTTAAGAGAATATCTTTTTTTGTCTCACTAATTTTCACAATCTTTCTTTCACTCCAAAAAATAGTCTTTCTCACTCTCACACATGTTCAAGTAAATACACTGTCTTAATCTTTCTAAAACAAAACCAGTGATATAGATGGGGGTGGAAAAGGGGTGGGGAATTAACAGTTTTAATAGAATTTAACTCTTTTAGAACAAAAATGTTTCGTAGGAGATGTGAAAGTAAAGAAATATCCATGTTTAAAATTAATAAATGCATTACTTTTAAAGTGGTAATACAAAAGTAGAAGTGACCATTGGAAAAGCCAGTTTTGTTAAGTATGTTATCAAATGTAAAAAAAAAAAAAAAAACATCATTAAGCTATAAAGAGGATTAAGTGGAAAGAGTGATTCACAAATCATGTGTTGTCTAGGTCTGAAAGAGTAAATGAAGAATATTCAATTTTACATATACAATACTAGATGGGCTAGCTGAGGTAGGTGAGCAAGAGGCAGGCAGCAATACAAAAGGGAAGACAACGTCAAAAGCTGGCCAAACAGCAGTCTGAGAGAATGTACAATCAAAACAAGAGACAAGAGTGTTGGAAATCTGGTGCAGCCAACCTTCATTGTGGAGCTGGAATGTAATTGATTGAAAGCTGTTAACAAGTTCACAAACATTATTTTGTTGTTGTTAGTATGGTAGAGAAAAAAAATGTGACCATGCTGAGGATAGCTTAGGTTGTAACTGTGGTCTGTTTTTACTTGCACCAAATTTAATGGCTTAAAATGTTTGTTGTGCCAATAGTCTTGGCTTTCAGTTACTAGCTGTGTGTTGTTGTACCAATAGTCTTGGCTTACAGTTTCTAGCTGTGTGTTGTTGTGCCAATAGTCTTGGCTTACAGTTTCTAGCTGTGTGTTGTTGTGCCAATAGTCTTGGCTTACAGTTCCTAGCTGTGTGTTGTTGTGCCAATAGTCTTGGCTTACAGTTCCTAGCTGTGTGATGTTGTGTCAATAGTCTTGGCTTACAGTTTCTAGCTGTGTGATGTTGTGCCAATAGTCATGGCTTACAGTTCCTTGCTGTGTGTTGTTGTGCCAATAGTCTTGGCTTACAGTTCCTTGCTGTGTGTTGTTGTGCCAATAGTCTTGGCTTACAGTTCCTTGCTGTGTGTTGTTGTGCCAATAGTCTTGGCTTACAGTTCCTAGCTGTGTGATGTTGTGCCAATAGTCTTGGCTTACAGTTTCTAGCTGTGTGGTGATGTGCCAATAGTCTTGGCTTACAGTTCCTAGCTGTGTGATGTTGTGCCAATAGTCATGGCTTACAGTTCCTAGCTGTGTGATGTTGTGTCAATAATCTTGGCTTACAGTTTCTAGCTGTGTGATGTTGTGCCAATAGTCTTGGCTTACAGTTCCTAGCTGTGTGTTGTTGTGCCAATAGTCTTGGCTTACAGTTCCTTGCTGTGTGTTGTTGTGCCAATAGTCTTGGCTTACAGTTCCTAGCTGTGTGATGTTGTGCCAATAGTCTTGGCTTACAGTTCCTAGCTGTGTGATGTTGTGTCAATAGTCTTGGCTTACAGTTTCTAGCTGTGTGATGTTGTGCCAATAGTCATGGCTTACAGTTTCTAGCTGTGTGATGTTGTGCCAATAGTCTTGGCTTACAGTTCCTAGCTGTGTGATGTTGTGTCAATAGTCTTGGCTTACAGTTTCTAGCTGTGTGATGTTGTGCCAATAGTCTTGGCTTACAGTTTCTAGCTGTGTGATGTTGTGTCAATAGTCTTGGCTTACAGTTTCTAGCTGTGTGATGTTGTGCCAATAGTCTTGGCTTACAGTTTCTAGCTGTGTGATGTTGTGCCAATAGTCATGGCTTACAGTTCCTAGCTGTGTGATGTTGTGTCAATAATCTTGGCTTACAGTTTCTAGCTGTGTGATGTTGTGCCAATAGTCTTGGCTTACAGTTCCTAGCTGTGTGTTGTTGTGCCAATAGTCTTGGCTTACAGTTCCTTGCTGTGTGTTGTTGTGCCAATAGTCTTGGCTTACAGTTCCTAGCTGTGTGATGTTGTGCCAATAGTCTTGGCTTACAGTTCCTAGCTGTGTGATGTTGTGTCAATAGTCTTGGCTTACAGTTTCTAGCTGTGTGATGTTGTGCCAATAGTCATGGCTTACAGTTTCTAGCTGTGTGATGTTGTGCCAATAGTCTTGGCTTACAGTTCCTAGCTGTGTGATGTTGTGTCAATAGTCTTGGCTTACAGTTTCTAGCTGTGTGATGTTGTGCCAATAGTCTTGGCTTACAGTTTCTAGCTGTGTGATGTTGTGCCAATAGTCATGGCTTACAGTTTCTAGCTGTGTGATGTTGTGCTAATAGTCTTGGCTTACAGTTCCTAGCTGTGTGATGTTGTGTCAATAGTCTTGGCTTACAGTTCCTAGCTGTGTGTTGTGCCAATAGTCTTGGCTTACAGTTCCTAGCTGTGTGATGTTGTGCCAATAGTCATGGCTTACAGTTTCTAGCTGTGTGATGTTGTGCCAATAGTCTTGGCTTACAGTTCCTAGCTGTGTGATGTTGTGTCAATAGTCTTGGCTTACAGTTTCTAGCTGTGTGTTGTTGTGCCAATAGTCTTGGCTTACAGTTTCTAGCTGTGTGTTGTTGTGCCAATAGTCTTGGCTTACAGTTTCTAGCTGTGTGTTGTTGTGCCAATAGTCTTGGCTTACAGTTCCTAGCTGTGTGTTGTTGTGCCAATAGTCTTGGCTTACAGTTCCTAGCTGTGTGATGTTGTGTCAATAGTCTTGGCTTACAGTTTCTAGCTGTGTGATGTTGTGCCAATAGTCATGGCTTACAGTTCCTTGCTGTGTGTTGTTGTGCCAATAGTCTTGGCTTACAGTTCCTTGCTGTGTGTTGTTGTGCCAATAGTCTTGGCTTACAGTTCCTTGCTGTGTGTTGTTGTGCCAATAGTCTTGGCTTACAGTTCCTAGCTGTGTGTTGTTGTGCCAATAGTCTTGGCTTACAGTTCCTAGCTGTGTGTTGTTGTGCCAATAGTCTTGGCTTACAGTTCCTTGCTGTGTGTTGTTGTGCCAATAGTCTTGGCTTACAGTTCCTAGCTGTGTGATGTTGTGCCAATAGTCTTGGCTTACAGTTTCTAGCTGTGTGATGTTGTGCCAATAGTCTTGGCTTACAGTTTCTAGCTGTGTGATGTTGTGCCAATAGTCATGGCTTACAGTTTCTAGCTGTGTGATGTTGTGCCAATAGTCTTGGCTTACAGTTTCTAGCTGTGTGATGTTGTGCCAATAGTCTTGGCTTACAGTTTCTAGCTGTGTGGTGATGTGCCAATAGTCATGGCTTACAGTTCCTAGCTGTGTGTTGTTGTGCCAATAGTCTTGGCTTACAGTTCCTAGCTGTGTGATGTCTTTTCTGAACATGTTTGGTTCCTCTCTTGACCCAGGAGGAAGTTCCATTTTGTGTGTTCATCTTCCTGGCTGTGTCTTGGGTATGACTATTATTTATGAATGGCAAACATCATTATCAAGGGTCTTGTACAATCACACTTCTGCATCCGATGCGATCTCATATAGCAAGTATAATTTTGTATGCCTGTATATTTCTGTGCCATAAAAAGGGTTGTAAAGAATCTTTTCTCACTGTGTTATTCTATTTTCCATTCCATAAGTTTTCAATGACACACATTTAAAAAAATTAATTCCCATAACATTGTTAAAGAAAAATTATGATGACATCTTCCTGGTGTTTGTGATGAGATTTTGTGACAGCATTTCTCAAATTATTTATATTTTTTAAGATGATATCTTCTTTTTAAGAAGATCACTTTGGCTGTCAAAGGGAGATATAAGCTTCATCTTCTGGCTCTTCTGGCTGCCTTGACCGTAAACGTATTGTGTTGTTACAGTCAGTTTCTCTAATCTTACCTCTCCACATTTGATCTGCTGTCCATAGTTACTAATTTTCTTTTATGGTTTGTTGTGAGTGACCATATCTTGGATATGATGGGAATTAGTATGCTTTTACTTTAACACTGCCATGGCCAAATGCCGCTTGATCAGATTATTCATATCTCAATGTATTCTCTGTAGTTATAATAAATCAACTGCTGGCTTGCTAGGCCTGTCGCAACTTCACCAGACACATCCTCCCTCCCCTCGCCAGGATGTTTCGAGGATTGCCTTTATGCCTAACATAACAGCCATTTGACACAAGGCCACACCATACTTTGCCAATCCTAGCAATTCCCTGCTTTGTCCTGTCTACCACCTCTCACAACATAGACATGTGGGTGGGCTGCTTTAAGAGTTGAGATGACTCTATGTAGTGTCAGTGTTTTTTTACCGAAATGTGTTTAACTATCTTCATTAGCTCTACACTGGTTATTCTGGCAAACAATTTCAGTCCATTTATTCTGCACTGGCACCAATTAATGTAATGTAACTTTTTAAATATTGTCTTTATTCTCTTTTTTTCTAATCGACTACTCTTAGGATGACTTAAAAACGTATCCTTGAAAAAATTTTTTTTAAAGAGTCAGGATGCAAAAATTTGAGACCATTAAGATCAGATGATGCCACATTCTGGTCTACAAGAGACTGAGGCTTCTGAGCCACAGGACTTCCTGACACCAGTCTCTTCAGCAAACTTGTGGGTGTGGATTTGCTCGATGATGTCTTTTCTGAATCTTCTGATTTATCAGAGCCAGCATTCTGGGATCTGCCAGATTTCTTGGTATGTTCTGTGTGTACTCTGTCCTGTGACTGCATGTAGGAAGAGCTCTGAGACCTGCAACAGAATATGAAAAGAATACTGTGACCTCTGATACAATTTGAGGTGAAGCTAAATATACAGGGTCATCGGGAAAGATTGCTGGAAATGGATACACACTTGTGGCATCTTAAAATGTTCAGAGAAGTTCAGTTTTCTTCTTTTTCTTTTTCACATTCACCAGCTGTACACTCTGGCAGAAAGTTCTGTTAGTTCATCCACTTCTGGGCTGCAGTCCTGTTTCAGAAACGGAGTGTTGCGTGTGCATCTGTTTTACAGATCTGACTCATTTGCATGCAGAATTCTGGTTCCTTGCCTCTCAGGCAGATGCAATCCAACTTCAAAGGAAGCTCCCAATTAATCGACTCTTATGACATGCTTTTGGGTAGGCAGTGGGTTCAGTTTTAAACTTACCTTAGTACACTTCGATATGGTCACCAGTTGCAGCTCTGGTGATGTCTAGACGGTATTCAGTCTTCTGCAACACCTCAGAAGTTGTGTCCAGAAGTTCAGTTGCAATGGCTGTAGCTCCCCTCTCTTTAAAATCCTGGATGCTCTTTATCTTCTCAGTGCCGTTTTAAGCCTCATGGTCACCCAAATATCACACTAAATGTTAAGCCTTTCTAAACATTTTAAGATGCCAACCATGTATCCCCATTTAATACCTCTTTTATAATAAGTTTAAAATCCTGGCAATGATTTTTGATGACCCTCTGTTAAACTGGGTGTTCATATTAATAAAATATCTCAATAAATGCAAATCCTGTTTTTAGCGGAAAGGCACAGATATCACAGCCTAGCAGGCTAGCTAGCTCAGTGCTGAGTGGCAAATTATCACTTCAGAGGTCCTGTATAAGTAGCATCCTTTGGATATTCTTTCCAGGTCATGCCTGTGTGTTGGGAAATGAGCAGGCAGACATACTAGCTGGTTCTGCACCACTTAGTGGCCGGTTTTGCACCACAAGCTAGATATTGTGAGGACCCTCTGGCGCGAGTGAACAGTGCAGAAGTGCAAATAGATCATTACTGTAAGTGGAGAATGGCGCTGCAAGGAGTTGCCAGGGGATTTGGCCAATGCTGAACACTCAAGGGAAAGGCGAGACGTATATACAATTAGACAGTTACTGGTGCCATCAAAATTGGAACTTTTCATCTGCTGCTGAAATGGGGATGGAACAGTTTTGGAAATGTCCCGAGTGCTATGATGATGATTCTTAATTCAACAACATTCAACTGGCATGGAGAATAAAAACATTCAGACCATTTAAAGTATGATGATAATAGACACACACACAAGATCATTATCAGAACAAAGGCCTTTATACAATAAATTAATAGGCTGAACCAAAAAATTGCCCTCTTGTCATTCTTTCATGGGATGCAATTTTTCGTTATTTGAAGCCCTACTCTGGCTCTTCCCAGGGGTTGCAATATAGCCTGGCCATAAATATGGTCAAATGTCTGAATGCGGTTTCTGGGACCTCTCCATGGGTGATCCTCATCCACATGGTGGCACTTTTTGTCATCAGGTGTTTACCTCTTGTGTGATGTCCTGATTGGGTAAAAGAAGATAGACAGATCAACCAAAAATGAAGTTCAGCTACAATAATCGACTCCACTTGTAAAACTTTCCCCTATAGTTGACAGAAATGTGTTATTTCTCCAAACTTACCCATGTGAGCAGCTAGATACATCAGAAGAAACACTAATCGATCCCTGCTCCTCCAAGGACAAGTCAAGATCTCCTCTGCCACATTCTACTTTAGCACCATCTGGGCTTTGGGATGTCGGTCCCAGAGGATCAAACTCTTCTAAGTCAGCTGTCTTACTTGGTGTGGTTTTACCACTACCAAAACTCCCCTTTCTGCTGCTGGTAACAGGATTATCTACATCTGATTGCTTCCCCAGTGTTGAAGATGAAGCCACTGATCCTGAGTTAAGGACTGTGTCAGTCCTGTCATTGGAAGACTTCACAAAGATAGGGGTGGTTGTCTCATCTTCATCTAGAAACATTTAGACACAATAAAAGTAATGAAAAGTAAACCACACTGAGGTAGAAAAAAAAAAAAAAAAGGAGCGGCTGGCCTAGTGGTTAAGAGCACTAGGCTCTTATTCAGGAGAACCTGGCTCAAATCCTTGTTAAGGTGATGAATTTTGTTCTGTCAAAAGCAAAAATTCAAATCACTGCCTGCAGTCTGGTGGTGACTACATTAGTTATGCTGCTTTAATTTCTCAAACTCAAGACCCCTGTCCTACACACTCCCTTAAAATATACAGGCAGTAAAAACAGTAAAATAAGACATTCTCTTTTCTGCCTTTCAGGTCAGGTTTTGAAGAAGTGTTGGGTACGAGACTTGGTATGTGCTATGTAATGGTTGTTATTAGATTATTAGATATTCTATCCATACATTCCTTGCAGGTCAAATCTCTAGCTCTCCTCCCATTGTGTCTAAGCGACAGTAAAAATATTGTATTCAACAGTGCTCTTTTGGTGTTAACTGTTACATTTTTGGTTCTGCGCTATTGGAACTACATTGGCCATGCACTCAGAATGGATAAGATCAGACTCCCTCATCAAGCCCTCATATGGACACCGAAAGGAAAAAAAAATGGGAAAGACCAAGAGAGATATTGCGTAGAACCATCACCAATGGAAGGCTCCAACCATAGGCCTAAAACACATTTCATTGTTCCAACTAGTCTCACCACTATACACACATCACTGTTCCAACTAGTCTCACCACCATACACACATCACTGTTCCAACTAGTCTCACCACCACACACACATCACTGTTCCAACTAGTCTCACCACCATACACACATCACTGTTCCAACTAAAGGTCTAAAACTGGTGGCAACGAACCCCTAGACTGGAGAGCTATGACCTCTGGCCTATGGGCCACCTCAAGCTCAAAAGGAAAGAGTAACTAACTAGAGGTTACTTAATTCTGAAAGTCATATGAAGCAAGTGAATGAAAAAGCCGCATGAACAACCATAATAAGAACTCTTTAAAAAAAAGTGAAACTAATGTTATGTTTGGTACCAGAATGTCTTAAGTTTTCATATATGCTCTTGAAGGGTTTGGTAAGTTATTTTTATGTTTTTATTAAAAAATATGCCCATGATGACTGAGATGGTAAAAAGGCATCAGCAGTCCAGTTAACAGCCATACAAAAAACCCAAAAAAACAAGGCTCATTAACAACAAAACACTCCTCGTTACGCTAAACAGTAAATTCTGAAGCACTCTCTACCCAAACAGGAAAAGGCAAATTATAAAAGCTAGAGAGATATATAAAGATTATGTTGGCTGATTTTACTTCAACAGATCATACACACCAAAACGTATTTAGAGTAGGACTATATTTTCTAATGCATAAATTGTCAAGGCGCTCTAAAAGTACTGGAGAGTTTTGGGAAATGCCATTCCGCTCTCAAGACTCGGCGAAGGAAAAACGCAAACTGCAACTTTATGCGGTACAGTTTGGTAAACACAATGCAGTGTGGTCAACACAACTATGGGGACAGAGTATCCATAGGGATAAATGCCATCTGCTTTTAGCAGGAGTATAGCAGAGCAGGGCACTCACCCTGGCAATCTAAAAGGTTGCTGAAAGCTGAGGACATAGTCTAAAGCCATGTGGATGTGGATGTGGAAAGCAAGGGGAAACTACCACATTATTATTCCAAGAAACTTATCATGGAAGCCACAAATGAAAACTGAGGCGAGAGAGCTGGTGAGAAACCAGTTTTTTTTTTCATGCAGACTGTGATTATAGCGACGTTCTACAAAGGAGCTGATACATGATGATGAAATTGCTGAGACTATAATGCAACATCAACACTACATGATTAAAGAATAATAAGTATAAAATCACTGAAAATGCCTCCATACAGTGTGTTGTTTGACTATCACAGGTGATGTTAATTCAACGATGCGTCCAGTTGGGACGCAATTTTGTTGTTGTTTTAAAGCCCCACATTGGCCGTTGCCAGGGGCCCTAACAAAACATAACCTGTGGGTTGAACAGGGTTTCTGGGACCCTGTCCCCAGGTGATCTTCATTCAAATGGTGGCACTTTGTGTAACTAGGTGTTTATCACTCGGTGTGATGTCCTGGTGGGGCTGAACCACATCATCATCACAGGTGATGAAGACCAATCAGCATCCAAGAACATGTCAATGTTCATAGACTACACCCTCCTCTTGACACTAGTCTAGAGGCTGACCTAACCCATTTTCAGAAAACACTACCAACCTTGGTCAAGTCCAAGATTACCACAAACTTTCTGGCTACTATTAATTACCAGTATTCACACGTCTCAGAGCTTCAATTGGCCAGACAGGTATGTGGATTTTTCTTGGATAGACCCCAATGATTTTGTGTATTCCTGTGTGTAACTGTAACAAAGTTCATTTATGTTTATGTCTTGGTGAAGGCTTTTTAGCCGCAATGTCCACTTGCCATTTGTGACTGTGATAATGTGAAACTGATGAGTTCTACTTTTCATCTGGTTTGATATCTTTTCATGACAATTTACTATATGCAAAAATTCAGACACCCCCCCTCCCATAAAAGAACACCGGTTCCCAGATGAGCCAGGAAAGAGGCTCTTAAGGGGCAATGGCACCAACTGGAAGTGCTGGGTTTGTGGCTTCTCAAGGCAACACAGTTAAGTTGGTACATTTAAATATGTAATATCTTATTTATGCCCAATCAGCAGGTTTCTTTAAAAAACTGGAACTGGTATGGCATGATGAAAGTTTCTTTCTCCAGCACTTTCACAGTCAAAGCACCTTCGATGTCTTGAATCCGCCTTTGCTGAGGCCATCTTTGCCTCGTTTCCCCGGCAAATGTATCCTCCACACCATTTTTTCCAGGTCACCATGACGTTTAACATGGCCAAAGTACCTCAGTTTTCAGTTCAGGATGCTGTTTATGAGGCAGTTCTCCTTGATATTCAGATCATGCAGAATGTTGATGTGTTACTTCTTATTAGTCTGCTTCTGGAAAATCACAAAAATATTATTAACTGTAAATCAGAGTGACTTACCTTGAACACAGTTATTCGCAATGTCAGATTTCATAACTGAGCTAATGTTGAGACCCTCAAGTAACCAACTGTTGCTCCGTAGAGTATCTTCACTGATCTCAGTCACTTCAGTCATAGTGGTATCAATATTTATGGGGTCAAAGTAAGCAAGGTCAGTGTCAGGAAAAGAGGTCGCCAATATGGATTCATCATCTGTGTCGTTGGTGTCATCTCCGGTGGATGAGCTCAGGCTGATGTTGTCAGATACTTGAGGAAAGTTCCAGGTGCCCTCCAGAACTGCCATCCTGTAATATTAAAATACCAATTAACTGGTTTGAAAATAAAAAGATACAGCTATAGAGATATTACAAAGATTATGAAGGCTGACTTTACTTCAGGTCATACACACCAAAATGTATTCACAGTAAGGCAAATGGTCTACTGCATAAATTGCCAAGACTAAATGCAACACCAACAGCACACGATTAAACAATAATAACCAAAAAAATCACAACAACAACAAAAGTTCCTTCACATGCATTGTTCGTGGCTTACGCGTTGCGAGTCCGACTCATAATCCCAACATAACGCAATTGAAACCCACTGCTGGCTGCGTGGATTTTTATCGTGGTTTGGGGCGTCGCAGGTCGACCCAGCCTAAAATGGGTGCCAGGATGCATGTCCTGGGAAAGTAAATATAGCAGGCGTAATGCTGACCACATTACCCTCCTGGTGCCAAATGGTCTGTAAAAATATGGGTACGCTTCCCATAAGCCTGACACGTCTAAAAGGCATGAAAAGGGATCTTTACTTTACTTACTTACATACTTCACTTCAGGTGTTGTTTACTATCTTAACATTCAAAAAGTACTCGATAATCAATGATAGTAAGCAGGATGATGACAGATGAGTTTAATTTGAGTCTGGAAAGTTCCTGAGCAGCGTGAATAGCAAATGAAAGTGATATCAGAGGTGGGATTTGCTATATGGTTCTCTCTAGTTTGCCTCCATTTCTTTAAAAGCGCAACCTCCGCTGCCTGGCAGGCTGATGCATCATGCTTAAAACTGTTCGCCATCCAGATTGTTCTTGAGCAACAACCTCCCATGTTTCTGTTTCAATGTTATAAGATTTAACAGCAGTTTTGAGTGTCCTTATAGCCTTTTTTTTTTCAGTCTACCTAGAATTTTCCCCCATGGTGGATGGAGTTCAGTGTTCAATATTTTTTTGGGAAGCCGATGTTCTCACATGCGGGCTAGGTGACTAGCCCAACAAAAATACTTAGCTGTAAACAGAAATTCCACCCACCCTCCTTCTCCTTCCCATCAATATACTCGCACATATAAATACACACACACATATACATCATTATCATGTGCCATGCTATTACAAGTCTGCTGCCACGTTTTGCCGTCTCACACGATCACAAGAATCACCTCTACATCCACATCTGTGTAGCATATATACTGATCCATACGTAGCTAAAGGTGACCAGTGTGACAATGATCACATCACGTAACAGGTGCTGATTTAGTTAAAACTCAAGGCCCAGCATCATATCTCCAATATACCATATGGCATGGAAACAGAGTCTGTAACCTGTAAACTAACTTTCAATGTGCAGCTAGATTTGATAACAACATTTACCTCAAAGTGATTTTTTTTTTTTTAAACATCTGCCTTACTAAGCTCTGAAAATCACTTGCATCGAGATGAAAAATAAACAGTATCCTACGGGCTCTATCATCAATTTCTCATCAAACACATGACACTATCTGAAATGTTACTGTCAATTTCCACTTGAATTTATACAAGGAAAAAAGCCTCATGGAGACAGGCACTGAGTCAAGAGTAATGACTTTCTTCTTTCAGGGTTCAGATGACTTTGCTGTCAATACACCCATCATAATGAGTTGCAAAAGTCAGAGAATTCACAACCAGCTAATAATCCAGAATATGGTCCACAAGTAAAAAAGAGTTGAAAAAAATTTAAAAACTGATAGAAGTAAATCTTACTTTGCATTATTATTCCTTTGAGAACCATTTCCAGGCTGCAGGCCTGCTTGTTCTTTCTTCCCCTGCTCAAACTTGGCTCCAAATGAGGTAGGTTTTACACTACTGAAATTGTGCTGGACATCTGATTTCAGTTGACATTTTGGATTTAAACTGCTACCAAGTTCACCAGACACGCTTTCCAGGCTGGAAGGTTCTGGTTGCATCAGAGACGGTTCTGTGCCGATGTCTGTGTCAGTTTTTCCTTCCTGTTTTAATAAAAATAAAATAATTACAGAAATAAACTAAATATAAATGTAATGTTTAATATCAAACTAAGAGAAGATGTAATGATGTCAAAGACCTACATCATCACAGAATGAGAATAGCCATGCTTCTCATCAAGTAATGGAGTGTAAACTGTTCCTCCCCATAAGACAAAATTTGGAAACTGACGATGATGATGATGAACAAAATATTATTATATGTTGCAGATTCTGCTGGCTGCTGATAAAGGATACCATGTGGAACCTTGATCATGTAATAAGTCAGACAAGTATTGGTTATATCAATATAAACAAATTATGTTGCTACCAAAATACACATTAAATGGTTTTTCTTTTACATATGTCACTTTTTAAAAAAAATGCTTTTAGATCAACATTTAATAGTCGTCCCCCTGTGGGATGCAATTTTTCATTATTTGAAGCCCCACCCTGGCTTTTGCTGGGGGTCCTAAATAAAGCCGGGCCATAAATATGGCTTAACGGCTGAACAGGGTTTCTGGGACCTCTCCATGAGTGATTCTCATCAGCATGGTGGCACTTTGTGTTTATCGTTTTGTGTGATGTCCTGGTGGGGTACATCTTACATACATACATACATACATTTTAAGTTTTTAAGTTAGTTGCGTATCCTTTACAGGACGTTGCAGAACTAACCCTAACAGCCCCTGGCTGTTGTGTGGTTTCTCTTGGCAAATCTACGTCCAGTAGTTTGCCATTGATTTCTGGACGGTCGGCTTTCTTGATACCACTGTCGAAACCAACGCAAGGCGCATTGCCCGCAACTGGGATCGAACCCGACATCCCGGCATTTCGAAGCGAAGCGTTCGCATAGACTTAACCACAGAGCCGACACATACATACATACTACAAAAAAAGCTGATGTTTACCAGCTAATAAACTGTTGCGTTTCTTGAAAGGATTGATAAAATGTGTACATATGAAGCAGATGAAGACTGATGTAAAAATGTACAAAGAGTATTATATATGATTAAAAAAAAACACACAAAAAACATCTGCATTCATGTTTAAAGATAAAAGAATCTTTAGTGAGAAGACAAGGTTATATTTTAAGAAGAGTAGGTTACTTTAATCTTTCTTGTCCATCAAAGAAAACAAACATCACTTACAGTCACACAAATAAAAATCCAAACACACATCAAATTTATGAAATTTCTTTTGCATTCACCCCTAACAGAGCATATGGGACGACTTTGCTGTGCCTTATACTAATGCTGTGATTTTTGCACTTTTCAGCCCAACACATTCAATTTCAGCAAACTCTGAATTTGTCATATTTTATAACAGGCTTGTTAAGGGGCTGTAGATGTATATCCCCCCCCCCCCTCCAAAATTAGCCCATGAAACTTACAAAGGGACAGATTTATGAAGCAACAAAGTAAAGAAATAAATCACATTATTTTTCAAGTCAGAAAATTCCAGCGGACACAAACTTACTTCTAAAAACTGCTTAAAAACTAACGACTTGTAGAGATGAGGTTGTGTAGCCACAAAATTCAGCAGCTCAAGGGAGCTCATCCTTCTTTCTTCTATTACATTTTCATCAAAGCGGCCTGTAAGGGAAACACGTTTTAAATGTCTATGATATATAACTAAACACTGCAGTTTTCATAGCACTACAAAATCTATGGAAATCAAAGGAAATCAAAAACTAATAATAAACTTAAAATATTTAACTTTCACATCAAGTCAGTACTGCTGTATGGAGACCAATAATGGAGAAGAACTAAAACAATTACTAGTCAACTATAAACATTCATTAACTGGTACCTGCAATTAATACAGGGAATTAACTCTTTAAGGCCCGAGCAACACTGTGACTGTTGACTGAGAAGTTCCCTTTTGCCCAAACAACAATGTCAGCGTCGATCGTGTGTCCCATATACATTGTTTTGCATACAGTTCTGTATTTGTTTCTAATGTTCGGAACTACCATTAAAGTATTCAGGAAAGGTTACTGTAATGTTTTCATGTAAACAGCATTCCTTGTTCCAAAACACATGGGCAGATTTATCCGATTTATAGATAGCTAGCGCTGAACAGTGCATTTTTCAAGTTTTCATTGATAGCAACGTTCCAACCACAAGTACACGCTGCAAAATGCATCTTTCTGCGGCCGAAACTCAGAAATTGTTTCAGCCAGATGTTTCTAGTTCTGATTATGATAATGAAAATTTCGATTTTTCCTAAAGTGATTTGACAGTGAATCACAGCAGCAGCTGAGTGATCAGCTGTTTGGGAATCTAGCGATTCTGATGAGTTTACACACAGAACGTTCCACTGCTATCATATTTAAGGTGTAAGGATTAAAAGTATTTTACATTCTCTATTGCCTTTTTTGTACACCCACCCCTCTGCCATTTTTGTAAAGGGGAAATTATTGTGGGCCAAGTCTATCAAAATTCATGGGCCTGAAAGAGTTTAGTTGTATGATACAGTCAATTTATTGAGAGACAAAGAATGAAATGGTTTGGCCATCTAATGAGAATGAAACCAACGATGCCAGCAGCAAGAGCGTACAACCTGAGACTGCACAACATAACGTCAAATCAAGCGACCGCACGTGCCCCGGCTCGGCTGCCAATCATCTGATGAACTGCGACGCCTAGCGGTATAAGCAGATATTGACAAAAGAAGATGAAAGAGTGACTGATGTGCTTTAAAAGAGAATTAAGTAAATTCCATGAGTCATAAGGTGAAGTAAAGACACTGGGGATAGATAGAACACATATTAAGAAAATCTGAGAACATATAACTAGAATATCTTCGAACTGGAACCAACAGGGACACAGAAATAAAGGAAGATCAACCAAACAAAAACACATGCAGAAGAGAACTAGAGAGGGACACCAACAAGATGGAAAGGATGTGGGATGTGGTAGCAAAGGACAGTATGACTTGGTGTGAGTTGGCCTATGCTTGATTGGGGGATAAAGAGCAGAAGACCTGTCAGGATACATATTTTAAGTGTCTATTACATAATTATACATAACATTTATTCATGCCGTTTCAATTTTTCTCATGACTAGCTAATTTCCATTTTTTAAAATGTTTATTAATTTCATTACCCTGATGCTGTTTTTAATACTCGATTGATAAATCTCCACTCATGCTGAGTGTTCATAAAAATAGCAAGTGACAAAATATAAGTATAAAAGCGATAAGAACACAGGTAAATTAATCTGCATAAAATTTATAGTTACAAAAAGTGTGAGCTAGCTCTCCATCCTCCCCACCCCTGCCAGCTTTCATCTTCCAATAAAGTACAGGCCATTAACCAACTCTTGCTCAACCCTTTGTAGACTTCATAACAAGTTGGATCATCCAACTAAAGTTTTTCTATTGGACAAGTTAGCCTAGTGATTTTCAACCTTTTTCAGGACTCCCCCCCCCCCCCCCCCCTCTCAACATATGGCAAGACCTTCCACCCCCAGAATAAAAAAAAAAAATGATTAAAAAGAGGAGGTCAAGAAAGAACCAAGCACTTTCAAACAAGAACTTGGAGAAAAACATACACATAAATCAAAGTGTCAAAAAATATATCGTCCTCGGCTTTACATATAGTTTAAAACCTATTTTATTTATATAACTGAACCGAAAAAAATAATAATACAATAGAGTATTACAAATACAAATCAACTCAATTTCAAAACTACTTGCCATCCTCCTTAAAACTTCCTCATGCCCCCCAGGTTGAAAACTACAGAGGTAGCCGGTCCCATGTCTCACACCAACCTTCTTTAGTCAACTCTTATGCCACGCTACAGTGTTATTATTCTGTGCTTCCCTTCTAAGCCCTGGTATTACCTCCCTGTCATTTGACAAAATCTAACCTAGACTGAACCCTTATCATCAATGTGTCTTGTCCTTCAGCTGGCTTTAAGCTTCCTAACAGACCTTTGCCAACAGCATTTTTCTTGTCCCTTGGCTCAGTCTTTACATTCTCCCTGCCAGTGGTTTTCAGATGCGAAGGCCATAGGCCACTCTGAAGTATGTGGTACAACGCATGTTTTCCACTGTTCCATACATCTTGGCTTCCACTCGAATGCCAAACTTGTGATCTCTCCATTGCATGTAAAAAACATGATTAGTACTCTGTGGTGCCTGTATTTTCTTTTGTTCTCTGTATCTTTTCCTTGGTCTGGCCAGTTGTGTTTTCTACTCTGCACTCTTCTCCTGGCTCCACAAGCTGAGGCAGAGGAAAAACATGTAACTTTGGGCTCCTTCAAGGGGGAGGGTCCGTATGTCCTTAGTGGCTAATCTCTGACTGCCTTGGCACTGAATGTGCTCCTTGGTGAATCTCTCAACCATTTGCAAGCATTCTGCCACACAAATAAACTATCAATTATTTCCAAACTTCTGATGCAGATTGACAAAAATTATTATATATTTATAATTAACTAAATCAATTATTGAACATAAAAACTTACCGAATAATTTGGGCTTAGCAAACTCAGGAAACTGGTCTCTCCTATGAAGAGCTTTATGTAGAGCCAACAAAGATTTGTGAAGTACTTTGAAATCATTGTACCTCTTCCAGCACACAACCTACAATCACATAAAAATTAATTAAACACATTATTTTTAGATTTAAGACTGGCCTAGTAAACAAGTAGCCAATAGCCGAAACAAATAAGCTAGAATAACAGGACCATTCCTGTGTGTGTGTGCTGAGTGATTCTTTTAGCATGATCAGGCAGAGTCAAGGCAGGCTGGTTATCCAGACAGTGGTCTGAGTCATTGCAAAACTCTCCTGTGTGTGCAGTTACCTTTATATTCATCCCAGGGTATGCAGACGTTGTTGGTAATGAAAAGAACTATTGACTGGCAGGTGCTGCATTAATTGAAGATGGCCCACCCATAGATCACGCAGACATTGTTGTCATTGCCCTTAGAGAGATAGGACGCTCTGAGGATTTTGGAAGCAATGTGTCCACATCACTGCTAAGAATATGAGAACTGGGAGTAAAGATCAGCACAGCCAAGCATGAGAAGCACATCAGATGCACACAAAGTCTTGTCAACTAACATAGGATTGGCACTATTAACCACACAACACTGATGAATATGTTGAGAGGATAATCTGAGTGCCTATGGATGTGTCCGAAAGTGCTGTGAAGATAATCTAACTCATAATTCAAATAAACACCACATCTGAAGTGAGTTGTATATCCTTTACAGGACATCATAGAACCAGCATTATTGGGCTGTTTTACTAGGCAATCTTACATTCAGCAGTTTGCCATTTCTTTCTAAACGGTCACCTCTCGATACCATAATAGAAACCAGAGCTAGGCAGTCTGCTGTCAAATCACTGCAGCTGAAAGTGAACCAAGTATCTCAACATTACAAGCTGTGTTTGCAAAGCCTACACCACAGTGGGCAAACCATGCCATAGACAAGATTAATATATTTTAAGAAACATGTTTCACTTATTGTATCCATACCAAGTAAAACTCAAACTGAATTCAGAGACTCCACTAATGTTTCCAGACACTGTTAATATAAACTACATAGCTAAATGGGCTGGGGTGAGAACTGAGAATAGTACCAGTATTCAAATGTGAAAATGTCACCTTAGCAGTGGTGTGTTCACTTTCTCTTTCCAGATTGCTTCACATTCACAGAGCTGTTTGTTTCTTACACACACACAAAAAAAGGTTATGGTTAGTTAGTTAGTTAGTTAGTTGGGTTATCCTCATTGCACTCCGGACATGTCCATAGGTGCTCAGATCCTCCCCTCAGTATGAACCCCAACGTCCGATGGCTAATAGTACCAGTTCTATGTTGATTAACAAGTCTTCTGGCGTAGCTGGTGTGCGTCTCGTTTCTTGCTGTGCCGATCTTAATTCCCAAGTCTGCCATTCTGGCGAGTGATCGGGATTCATTGCCACCAAAGTCGTCTATCCTTCCCATTTCTCTGAGGGCATTGATAATATCAGCATGATCCATAGGCTGACCGTCGGTAGTGATAGCGGATCCAGCCAACCTGTCAGCTCTTTCATTTCCATCGACGCCAGCGTGTCCCGGAACAAAAATAAAGGTGACTCCACGGACAGTGGACTTCTGTAATGATTCAAGCCATTGTCTTCGCACTGAACCTGCCTGAACCCTCCAGATCATACTCATTGAATCACTGAGTATACACACGCAGGTGTATTTTTGTGTTTCAAGCCAGGCAAGCGCTTGTGTCACTGCCATCACCTCCATCGTCATGCTGCTGGTTGTCATGGAGAAGGCGCCATTGGCTTCTTTGACTGTTCTGCCCGCTGAGCGTGCTGTAAATGCCCATGCGCTTCTTCTTTGGCGTATAACGGATCCGTCTGTATAGATTATTGCATCTGCTTCGTCTGAATTTTCACCGAAAATTATGGTACTCAGCACAAGGTGTTTAAAAAATGGTGCTGGTACAAACCAGTTTCTATTAAAGTAATGATGTAAAAAATAGGATGCCTTAACAAAGGCTGTAGTACTGCAAACTGTCAAAAAAAAAAAAAAAAAAATAGACTAGGCACCTGATCCATACTACTTTTAAAAAAGGGGAGGAATTTTGCATTCTTAAGTTTCCTTATTCTGTAAAAATCCCTTATCCTGTGACAATTTGTTCTAGGTCTATGGGAGAGGAGCAGACAGCCACACTGTCCCGTAGACTGGTAATATATTTCAGTTGATACTGTCAACATTACATGTATATTCTGGAATGTCAAAATAATATATCCATCCTCATATTTACACAAACAAAATCTTACTTACTTCAGTTAATGCCTCAGGTGATCTTATGGGGAAAGTCTGTGGAACAAATGGTCAAATAAACTTTAATTTTAAGAATATCATAAAAAGTTATACAACCAAACGAAAAGTATACCAGCGAGCATCACAATGTAACAAAATACAAGCAGAAGTGATGGCTACAAAGCCTTTATCAACACATTACATAAATCAATAAAAAATGTACCGAGATGTATTATTAAAATTTAAGACAGTCATTTTAAATTCAAAGCAACATAGAAATAGTGTACATTTTTTTTATTAATGTGTGAAAGGTGAGATGAGCAATTCTAAAGAAGTGAGGTGAGTAGGATGTACAGAAAAAGGAGAGGCAAAGAAAAAGGAAGGAGGGGAGGAAAAATAGAGAAAAGGAGGATCATGGGTCACAAGGTCCCTTTTCTGTGCCTTTAGGCATATTGAGAATATAGTGCTAGACCTATGTTTTAATAGATCAATCGGTGCTTGGTAGGTGATGTGGTCAGCAACACGCCGACCGCCTTTACTTCCCAGGACTTTATAATGTTGGGGTGCAGGGTTCGATCCAGATGCAGGCAGATTGGCAGCAGATTGTCTTACGCTGGTTTTGACAGTGGTACAGAGAGCCAACCATTCAAGCAATGGCAAACTAACAAATGTATAATTATGCATACAGAAACCCTAACATCCAAAATGCTGGGGTTGGTTCTGCAATGTCCTGTAATGTAAAGGCTATGCAATTAACTTTTCATTAACCCTTGGGTGTCCCAATTCAACTGTTATACAGTTTCAAGATATATAAGTTTGATTCTTATCCTTCAGATGTTAATCTTACAGGCTGCAATCCCAGGAAAAAGAGGTGGGGTGGAGGAGGGAGGGTGATGTTTTTTTAAAGGCGTAGAACTAGTGTCATCAGGTGTGAAATGCTGAAGGATTTACTGAAAAGAAGAGACTCTTAGGAAGATCAAACACTTATGGCATTTAGGGCTGACTTTATTATTTTTTTTTACCTAGCCTTAGAAACATTACATGCCAAAATTAAGTTTCATAATGATTGCAATGTCTATCTATAAGTACCAAATAAATCTTAAAACAGTATTAGACTCATCTTGGTAATGATAATGGCCTAATTAATTATCACATAACTATAATTAACAACAATTAATTATTACATACAAAGACAGCAAGTGAAATGGTTTGAGAACTTAGAGAGAATGCCTTGTGACACCATATCATACAAAACATACATGGAAAGAGAAGAAGGACGTAGAGCACGGGGTAGACCAAGAACAAGATGGAAGGATAACATCAGAGAAACTCTACAACAGCACGATGTGCCTATGTTCGAGGCAGCCAGAAGAGCTAGAAACAGAACCTTATATCTCCCTCGACACCCACAGCGGTTAAAGAGGAAGTGAAGAAGAAGAATTATTTATTAATGTGTAATGACTTCACCTTGCAGGTAACTTTATAAACTGTAAATCCTTTGGAGTGAAGTTGGGGATCTGTGACAGCAAAGTGCCATATATTATCCTGGACATTCCACTTTGAATCATGCGCCATTGTCGCACGTCAGGATGACTATAAACGTGCATACATTTTATAACCAGTGTGTCCAATTACTACGTACTAAAAATTTATGTTTTATACTTTGAATTTGACTTCACTTGGGCTCTGTCACTACTGTTACTAAACTGTTAGTGAAGTGTCACCTGTGGTGTTTGTTTGTTGTGTTACTATTAATTTGTAGTTGTTCTTAACTGGTAAGTCAATGTAAAGTGCAATGTAATAGTTGTAGCGGTAGGTTCGAAACTGAAACTCCCATATCTAAGTTTATTAAATATAGGCCGTTTAAACCAAAATATATGTGAATTAATTGTCTGGCTAAGTCATAAGTTGTCTCAATCTGAACCCAGCAAACAAACAAGATTAGGAGTTCGACCCGGAAGCAATCACTTAGGGTCATAACACGGAATAATTTTATTTCGTCTAGTGTCTACATTTTGGAATTTAGAATTATGATCATATATTATCTTCTACATGCCACAGCTTAGGTTTACAAAAAAATTTGCAAATTTATAATCGTAAAAATATAACTTGAAGTAAAAGCACTAAACAATGATGGAATATCGCAGAGTGAGGAAAATTAATAATTTATTTTAATTATACTGACTTCTCGGGTGTTGATTCCAGGGAAGCTACTCTGAAATAGTTCCCCCCTGACGACATAAATAACCGCCGGGATTTATCTTTATATCGTGCACAGAATTGAGAGAAATGGGACTTCTCACAATATTAAAGAAAATGAAACAGAAGGAGAAGGAGGTCCGGATATTAATGCTGTATCCTTTAATGTTAGATTATCCGATCGTTATGATATCATAGTGGTAATTGTTGGCAGATTACTGTAATAATCATCTCTAGTGACTCTAGTGTAGTGTTGTTGTTCTTCTTTCTGACTGAGTCAGTGACTTGACATTTGAAAATTGAGGTTAATTTTCCATTTTCATTGGTAAATGTCATCATCATCATCATAATCCCGTAACACTGCGTGTCGTTGGGTCATCAGTTTCTGTTGATTGTCTAATCAGCTCTCTCCACCTTTGGCGGTCAGTTGCGATGGGCTTCATGGTTGCATGCTTGAGGCCTGTCCAGTCAGTCAGGTTCTGTAACCAGTTTTTTCTTGGTCTGCCTCTTCTCCTCTTTCCTTCTACTGAGCCCTGCAGTATTGTTTTAAAGAGGCCATTAGATCGGCTATCCTCTAAATAACCGTCCCAAATTATCAAGGCCAAAAATATACCCTAAAAGGGCCTCAGTCAGGTGTCAATTGCGGACTTCCGGCGACTTAAATTGCGCACTTCGGGCGACTTCCTCCACCGCTGAGAGTATCTCACACGCTGCTATGCGCAGCATGGATTGGGGCTAAACCAGATGGCTGGGACTAAACTAGATGGCTGGGACTCACTAGCAGCAGCTACCGCATCTCCTGCAGCTTCCTTCATTTTATTTGCTCGTGAGTCCCAACCATCTAGTTTAGCCCCGATCCACGCCGCGCGTAGCGATGTGGGAGATAATCGGCGGTGGCGGTATAGTCCCCGGAATTCCGCAATTCAGTGGTGTTGGTATAGTCCCAGGAAGTCCGCAATTGACATGTGACTGAGACCCTGTTAGGATATATTTTCGGCCTCGATAATTTGGGACCATTATTTGGAGGATAGCCATTAGATCTCATTACATGTCCATACCACTGCATTTTTCGCCTTTTTCACTGTAGTTGAAAGAGGTTCATAGTTGCCAATGTGCTGTATAATTTTATGGCGAACATCTTCGTTTGTAATGTGTTAAATGTTACTGCAGGAGATATCACCAGCCTTCATTTATTTCTTCATCTAAATCTAATATTAGTAATTTATTACTAATAAATCTGTCATTGTCAGGAGAAAACACTCATTCATTAATGAAATCACCCATCATAATGATTATTAGAAAGATAACCAGCAACTCTTCATAGCGACAAGTCAAGCAAGTGAATGTTGGAGGTAATGCAACTCCTCATCTCCCTCAGCTTCTCTCTGAAGCACTAGGTCCAAACCAGTGTTTCATGGAGCCTTAAGGTCTCCTTGTCACTTTCCAATGGCTTTGTAGCTGCTTCAGGGCAGAAAGTTGAATTAAATTGAAGATTAGGAAACAAACAAAAACGTAGAATCTGCTGCCACTAGCTCCAAAATTGTTGACAGACAAGGAGAGTGAGTGGGCCTGCTTATCATATGCCTTAATTGGTAATAGCTAGGAATACATTTATCATAATGGTAAATTTCAAAGTTTTTAAAATATTGCATGAAATTATTTGGTAGACACTGCACAGTTGTTTAGCTATCTCATTACTTTAAATTTTTGTTTTATCTACTTGCTCCTCTTCCACTTCATAAAATTACTTCTAAACATCACACAACTAGTCAGATGTAGGTTACAATAGACCTAAGGGGCTCCTCGGAAGTAGTTAATTCTAAAAAGAGTTCTATGAATGAAATTATTTGGGAAATGTGGCTCTAGAGCCTTCTCTTTACATTCTGCTAGGCTGTATCCTGACCACATCAGGATTACTGTCCTTTAGCATCTTTAATGGCTCTTTCTGTCAACTTTCCTAGGCAATGCCATTATTATTTTCAGAAGATTATTAGTGTTTGTTATGGCCATAGTCTCTTGTCTTTGTTATCCGTCTCTCCTCCCCCACCTCACTCAGTGCCTGTATATAATTAGTTGTTTAGACACAATAGGATTTTCAGGTTTGGTACAGGTTGGATTAACCCAATTTTCTTTAGCTATAACTGTTTTCCTTAACATATTTATAGAGGACTGGATAATGCAGGCAAAACAACTATTTTGAAAAAATTTAATGGTGAAGATATTGACACAATTTCACCAACCTTGGGGTTCAACATTAAAACTTTGGAGCATAGAGGGTATGTGGAACCTGAAATTGTGGTTTAATCCATCTATGTAGATTAATGTTTCCATTGATACCTATGATGTCAAACATATTTATCTTTTATTTTCAGATGTAATTATATGCAATGTTTATTAATGAAAAATGGCAGCTGATTGTAAATAAATAGGAGTTTTTATTTCTTTCTGGAGAATCTTCATGGTGAAGTGGTCAAGCCGTTTGTCTTGTTTTCTGAAGGTTGTGGGTTCATTTTACAGATTGCTTTATTTGATTCACAAGTACAGTTTTTACTGAAATCTCATTGCTAGAGCTATGGAGTTCATTCTTTGTGTGACACAGTAGGCGTTCAGCTATTCCACCGAGAGAGTCCTGTGGATTAAAACTGAGACCCCAAAGGTTCTGTCACCAAATTACTGAGTTAGTGCGATACTGTGAGCTGTGGATTTCATGAGGAATTATTTGTTCTTTTGTTCCCATACTCTGCGGTTGACTGCACCAAAATAGCAGGTGGCCACTTTATGTTCGGAATAGTGTGTCCATTTGTAGGTGCAACGCTGGCTGTCATGATTGACCATTTTACACCAACAGTGAGCTACAGTTCTGATGTTGGCACATTTGGCAGCTGCCTCATGCACATTTACTTTGCCTGTGCTTCAAGATTTTACCAGGACTGACAAGTTTTTCTCTTGTTTTCAAATGGGACAGTGAAAGACATTTTATGTGATTTCCACTGGCACAGGAATGGAACAGTTATGGTGTGACCTGTTTGCATTGATGTTGGAACTTTAACTAAACAGCTGTACAGAAACATGTGGAGCTGTGGCGGCAGAGTGGCTAGTACACATGTTAGACCGCCAGGTGGTTGTTTGTTTAAATCTTTTTTGAGTCTGAGATTTTTGTCACTGATCTGGGCTTCCAGGTTAACCCAGCCTAAAGTTGGTACCAGGATACTTCCCGAGAGTAAAGGTGGCTGATGGGATACTGGCCATACTAAATGTCACATGCGGATAAGTCTAAATATATCGGACTATCACCATATATCTAGTATGCTGAGGAGTTACCAGGAGATCTAGCCGACGCTGAACACTCAAGGGAAGGGTGAGACGAATATACAATCAGACAGTTGCTGGGGCCATCAGAATTGTCCTGAGGGCTATGATGTTGATTCTAAATTCAGTATTCAACATATCTATTATGCAGAAAGGCATGAAAAAAGGGTCATTTCTTCTTCTGCGTACTAACCCCCAATGGAGCATAGGCCCTGAACCAATCACACCAAGTCGTTCTATCCTTTGCTATTGCAAATAGTTTACACTATGTATTCCCTTTCATTATCTAGCTCAATCTTGTTTTTTTGTGTGGGTTTGTTCCTTTTTTGTTGTTTGCCTTTATTTCGATACCCCTGTGGATTCCAATTAAAAGACGTTCTAGTTATATTGTTCACTGGTTTTATCAACTCTTTGAGTCCTAAGGAACGCATCATAGGTTCCTACCTAGAAGCCCAATGAACACAAGATGCGCAGATTTTATGACTCTCTTTACTACCCCCTGGGCCTGTGATGCTAAACTCCCTGGGACTCAAAGAGTTAACGTGTGGCCTATCCAATGCCAGCTTCTTTTCTTCACCTCTTGGTCCACTGGAACTCGTTTTTCTCCCAAAGCTCAACATTAGTGATTCTGTCGTACCATTTAATTCCCTCTATTCTGCACAGCAACCAGATAATGAATATTTTCAGTTTATTTGTAATTGCTTTTCTTGTTCTCCATGTTTCCCTTCTTATTTTTTTACTGTTGATTGGCTGTAAACGGTGGTGAAAAGTTTCTGGCTGTTCATCCACTTCTGGACTTTAATCTTGTTCCAGAACAAAAACATCTCATAATCCCAGATATGGGTCGTAAGGATGTCTTGGTGTACATAATAATGAATTTTTGTCTGTAATTGTGTGTATTTGATGTACTTGTAACAGGTTTAAGTTAAACATCTGGGATGTTGGAGGACAGAAGTCACTGCGTTCATACTGGAGAAATTATTTTGAGAGTACAGATGCTTTGATTTGGGTAGTGGACAGTGCTGACCGCATGAGATTGAATGATTGTAAGAAGGAGCTGCACAGTCTGCTGGTGGAAGAAGTAAGGGCTGCACTTTTTGTCTTCAGTATGTAAATTATAGTTTAAAGTGTCTTGGAGCTGCAGTAGCTTAATGGCTAGATTAGAGTTTTCTAAAATTTGTGTTGCGATACATTAGAGCGAAGGTCCATCGCCTGAATGTAAGGCATTAAACAGAATAATCAACATGCAGTGCCGCACGGTCAGCTGTAGCGTACGTGGCTTTTGCTAGTAGACTGACTTACTGTGTCACAAACTTATGTTTGTCTAAAAAGTGACTCATTAACATGAAAAGTTTGGGACACTCTGGATTAGATACCGGCCTACCAGCCTGAATATCTTGGGTTTGAATTTGCATCAAGTAAGATTTTTCCAAATTGACCATGACTCCCAGGTCGACCCAGCCTAGAATGGGCACCGAATTCTAGGAAATAAACGCAATGGTCATGATTTTCACCTCTGGTGATGATTATAAAAATATGAGTAGCATCACGTGACTGATGTGCATCGGCATAAGGTCTGTTACTCACTTGCTTAAAATGGCTGCTTGGAGACAAATGTTAACACCTTGGACAGCTAGAGTAAATAACATTGAATAGAAATGACTTATGAAAGACATCACAATTAACGTCCCTGAACATTTGGTATTCCCATGCGTGCTCACTTCTCCAATGCAGCAGCCACTCCAAGGTACCTCTAATTATTGTTCCCATGAGAAGCTGGTTATATTATCTCCTGTCTTCACCTCAAACTTGGCATAGATGTACTTTGCCAAGCGTTATTCCCGCCTCACGCAGTCATGTTAGCTTCAGCGATTCATCATTATCACCCAACCTAGTCCATACAGCGTTGATGATATCAGCTCTGTCCATGCTTCTTCCTGGTGCATTTTTTGCCAGCTGGTCTGTTCTTTCATTACCTTTTACTCCTGCGTGCCCAGATGTGTGGATCCAGATTGTCATAATATGTTTAAATACTTTACAAAGAAGATCTTATTTCTCAGAATTAATTCTGGTTTCAGAGACTTGCTGGAGCCACTCTTTTAGTTTTTGCTAATAAACAAGATCTTCCTGGATCGTTGCCAGCAAGGGAAATTAGAGAGGTTTGTTACAAGATGTGTAAATAGTTTGAATTGTATCTTTCTGCTATTCTTCATTGTCCCGTTTTGATTACCTTACTGTGTCCATGTCTTCGGACACATAGTGCTAGTCTTGTATTTATATACACCACTCTACGCTTAATATTTTATGTGATCAGTTTTCTGGCGGTCACATAACTTACCAGAATATTTTATGGGAACATTTTTAGAGTGGGTTAACCTGGGAACCTAACTCACGAAGAAAACTTCTATTCTTCTTCTTTTGTTTGCTTGAAATAGGTTATCTGTATCTGCAGTTCTGTCTCTGGTATGAACCTCACTGTCTGTTGTAATTCAGTCAGCAACGTGTAAAGTTGGGCTTGCACTGGTATTTCTCATGATGAGGAAAACTGACTGCCCACATCAGAAGAAGGAGACAGTCTACCTTCTTTGATATGTCAAGATAAGGAGAAAACTGGAGTACCTCCTGACGAAAGGAGAATGAGACAGAGGGAGACCAAGAAAGAAGATGCTGGATAATTTGACATCATGACATGAAAGAACATCTGTGTCATGATTGATGGATAAACACAAGACAGAAGGCTGTGAATAGACATGACTAACAATGCTACATGGTATGGATTATAGAGAAGAACCTAAGAACCCATGTTAGTTTAAAACAATTGGAAGAGATAAGAGGAGCGGCTGGTCGAACAGTTACAATGCTGACCTCTCAAGCAGGAGACCCGGGTTCAAATCTTCAGTAAGGCTGGGTATTTTTTCTGTCGGGGGCAAAATTAATTCCTCACCTGCACAGTTGTAGCGACAACACTAGCTAATGAGGCCATAAATCCTCAGTCTCAAAGACTCCCCTGCCTACACTGCACAAGTGGTAAAATAAAGGGAGTAATTGGCAGCTTTTGTGTGTGTGTGTTGCACACCTATGACCAATCCTGCGGATAGATTTGCTAGTCATTGCATTTCTACCAGATTGGTTGCTAAGTGTGTTATTCATTGCAACAAAGTAGTTGTTTCAGTTTTAATATTCAGTTAATACCTATCCACTGGCGCTGAGGTAGTCTAGTAGCTAGATGCTCTCCTGTTGACTTGAAGGTCTTTGTTTCAAATCTACACCAAGTTGAATTTTTTTCACACTCAGAAACTGATCTTTGTTTTCCACGTTTCAACCTCAAATGGGTACTAGTTAATGTCTTGGAAATTAGAAGCAGGTGGCATAATGGCAACACTTCACCCACTGAGCTGTAAATTTATGACTCTGCATCATGTACCCTGTGTGCCAATGATGAAGAAAAAAGAAGCTCAGAACACCTGTCCATAGCATGTCTTAAAATGAGTAGTGAATAATTTTCTGAGCTATGAAGAAAGGTAGTGGTGTTCAAAATATCTTATCTCATGATTTAATTAATGTGAAAATCTAAAACTACACGATTGTCTTTATGGTGGTTTATGCTGTCCTATGGTTGGAACTCCCCAAAGAAAGGAAGTAAGAAGCTGTGGTTCTTGAAGTGTACGCACAACTCAAGTCCTGAAACAAAACAAAAGTCCAGATATGGATAAACAGCCAGAAAATTTATGTCAAGAGTTCACAGTCTGTGAACGCAGACGAAAGTAGTATTAAAACTACATGCAGATGTATTTATCTGATCTAAAAAAAAAGGGGAAGTTAAAAAATTTTTTTTTCTTTATTCCTTCTCTCAGTATTTCTTTATGTAGTTATGTTAGTATCTCAGCATTCTTACCTGAATAGGACTGCTGGTTACACCCGGCTGGTGTAACCCTTATGGGTATCCTGATTATAACCGTTTCAGAGGTTGAACTGGGTATCTGGTACCTGCCGTCTCGGTCTGCTTTCCAGATTAAGATGTTTTGAAAACCTCAAGATGGTATGGTAAACCTTAAGATTGCAATCCGTTGCGGACAAACTGATTGATAGATTGTTAGATTCTAAGTACCTATCTGTTTAGTTTTTTTTTTTTTTATACTGTTGTGTGTGGTGTACCGATGAATTATTGTTATATTTTTTTTTTACAGTATGGCACCTACTTTAATTTGCAATCATATGCTTGTAAAACTGGCTTTATACACATTGTGTCAGTTCTTGTATTCAAAGGAAGTTAAATGAATGGGTAACTCTTTATGTTTGAATGTCTTTTCACTGTCTGATGAAATATAACTTTATTTCTAGGCTTTAGATCTGGATTCCATTAAAACACATCACTGGCTGATTCAGGATTGCAGTGCCGTGACGGGTGAAAATCTGCTGAATGGGATGGATTGGGTTGTCAGTGATATTGCATCCAGGATATTTACAATGGGTTGACACGCATTTATATACTTGCAGGATGTGTTTGCAGGCTTCTGTTTATGTGTACTGTATTGCCTTGTTCTGCAACAGTTATTAGCCATGCATTTTTTAGTCAGACATGGCGTGTATGGTTAGTACATGAATATTTACTGCCTATGCTGTATGGAACAGGGCTGCCAGTGCTGGGTTTTTACCTCCAGATCTGGGTTTTTATTTGACGCATTGGGTTTAAATTTTGAAATCTGGGTTTCTTAAAAAAATGTATCGTTATGTAAAAGTAGGTAAATATTTCATTTCGTAACTATAAAATTTGTACTTTTTAACAATCTGGGTGTTGTTTTTTTCAGCCTATATATTGCTTGCGTTTTTGTTCAGCTTAGCTGGGTTTTTCAAAAAAGTACCATTGGCAGCCCTGGTATGGAAGTTGTTGTTTTGTAATTTCATAAGTGACGAGCTAAATATTTCTTGCCCTGTTATTAGTATTAAGAATATCTTGGAAGGAATTGTCTTGAATTAACTACAGTTTCATCCCCTTGTGGGATGAATTGTTCATTATTTTGAAGCTTCACCCTGGTTGTTGCTAGGAGCCCTAATATAACCTAACTCTTGAACAGGGTTTCTTGGACCTCTCCACGGGTGATCCTCATCCGAATGGTAGTGCATTGTGTCACCGGGTGTTAATCGCTCTGTGTGATGTTCTGGTGGGGTAAAAAGTCAAGTCAGTTGTCTCGAATAATGGTGTCATCACATCTGTTTAAATGATATGGTAGACCTGCTTGGTAAACATGTACCTTTCTCCCTTTGAGGTCAGTGAGGCAATATTTAGAACCTGTTCTCCTGACAGACATTTTTCTTCTTTGTGTTCATCAGCTGTAAACTCTGGCAGTAAGTCCTGGTTGTTGGTCCACTTTTGGACTTGTCTTGGTCTTGTTCAAGAACTTGAGTTTTGCATGGACATCCTATTTAACCGATTTGGCTGCACACAGTTGGTTCCTCACCTCTCAGGCATATGCATTTAGACTTTGAAGGAAAGAAACACAATTAGTCGCCTTTTACATCACGCTTATCCCCGTGTGCATCCTGAGATCCCACTTGGGAGAATAGACCCACTGCTTCCCATACAAGCATGTTATACACGGCGACTAATTAGGGGAGTATTCTTCAAAGTCGAAGTGCATCTGCCTGCATACAAATAAACCACATTTGTTATACAGGTAAAGTAAAGGACCTTTTTCCACGCCTTTCAGGTGTATTGGGTATATATGGCTAGACTTATATTTTATAGACTGATGGCACAAGATGGGTGATGTGGTCAGCATCGTGCCGGCCACCTTTACTTCCCAGGACTGCACCCGGCACTCACCCTAGGCTGGGTCGACCTGGAAGCCGCTTTTATCATATAGGTGTGCGCACAAAATTTAACTTCTGGAAACAAAACCAAAGGTGAACAAACAACCAGGACTTTCCTTAGGAATTTACAGCCGGTGAACGCTGAAAAGAAAGCCAAGACAGTTGTTGGGGGCAGTGGATCAATTCTTGTTTCTCCCCAAATAGGGCCTCAACACTTACACTGGGATCCTGAAGGATAATCTGTGGCATAGTGGTTCTTCTGCATTTGTCCTTAAAGAATGGTTGGTACAGTATCTTGTGGCTACAGCTAGGCTGCACCTTTCAGCCCAACACCTCCGATTTCAGCAAACTCCTAATTCGTCTTTTACAACATACTTTTTAAGAGGTCACAGGGTCTTTTCTTGTCCTACTAAAATGGAGCCCTGGAACTGACACAGGGGAGGTGAAGTTGTTGAGACCAATTTCCTTGCACTCTATAGGTAGTAGGTTCAGCTCTGTCCTTCAGTTCACATGTAAAGTGATTTCAAAAATCCCCGGGCTCATCACCAATGCTTCAGGACCCCACAGTGAACTCTTCACGGCACATGGGTTGGGAACTCATGCTCTCCAATTCCAATTCCAGTTGATTAACACTAATTCCAAACTTGATCCTTTTTCAGCAGCCCGGAGGCCTGCTATATGAAGGAAGGTTCCTTGGCTATCTTATTTGGTTTCCTATTCTTCGTGGTGTGAAGTCATGCCTGATATTCCTGTTCTTTGTCTTCCTAAGTCCCGTGTGATACTTGGGGTTCTGGGTCCAGACTCGTGAACTAGCAGAATGTATACATCTATATGTTTTTTTTTTAATGGCATAATGCAAGGTTTTAATAAATTTCTCTCACCGTCTTCTCGTTTTCATGAATCTTACCGCTGGATTTTATATTTATATTGTGCAGAGAAGTGAGACTTCTCACAGTATTAAAGAAAATGAAACAGAAAAAAGTAGTCCAGATATTAACACTGTATCCTTTAATGCCAAGAATATACTTTTTTTTTAATGCTATCACAGCAGTGATTGTCAGACTAGTTTAACTAATATGGTCTAGTATTTATCTTCGTCTTCTTCTTTGTGACTTTTAACATTTGAGCTTCATTGTTGCTTCAGATTTCACTAGCCTGCAATTATTTATGTGACTGACTATCTATTAGTAAATTTAATGACTGATAAATTTGCTGAGGGAACTCACACTTATTCGGTAATTAAAATTACCTATCATTGTAACCAGCGTCATCATAGTGAGGCATGACGATAATGCAACTCCTCATCTTTGGCAGCTTCTTTCTAGAGCAGCAACTCCAAACCAGTGCCCCACGCAGCTCCAAGGGCTCCATGTGCACTTTCCAGGGGCTCAGCAGCCAGACTACTACTTGCTATTATGTATTTTTTATTAACACAGTGCCATCAAAATATGTTAATTTGTCAGACGTATAAACTCAAATATGTTGATTTGTCAGACTAAAGACAATGTTTTGCTTAATGAAGAAACTAGTTTCAAGAAAAGATACTGTCATCACCAGTTGAGTATTTCTAGTACTTGCGTAGGGTTCACTTAACTGAGACACATAATAGCCAGACTTGCAACAAATAAGTCTGGCATGCAAATGTTTGAGCAAACTATTAAATATGCCTCCCAAATACTGATCATGTTTCAGTCTTAAATTATTCTGATGTCAGAAGAATACAAAGACGTATCGGGTCATAGTTTATGTTCTCCTACATTCATATTTTCTGTAAATATAGTTGACATTATTATAGTTTAAAAGTTTTTTTGATGACCTAGTTAACTCTGCATTCACCAGCTGTAAACTCTTTGGTAAAAGGCTTGTTGTTCGTCAGTTCTTACCTTAGTCTTGTTACAAAACTTGAGCTTTGCATGCACATCCGTTTTTCTTTAAAGATCTTGCTTATTTGTATGCAAACTGTTGGTTCTCCCCCTCTCAGGCAAATGCCCTCCAACTCCGAAGGTATACCACTCACTCATTAGTCAGCTTCTATGACATGCTTGTTGGTGGTCGGTGGGTCTATTCTTTTTCTCCCTACAATGATCCCCTGGAACCCACAACAATGATCCCCCGGAACCCACACGGAAAGGAGGGAGGGGGGGGAGAGATCTAGTAAACTTTACCAAGTTTCGCTGCATTAAAAAAAATTAACAAGTCACATCAAATCCTTAGACCCTGAGATAAAACAAGCTACTTTGCCAAGTCTCAAGGCAAGAAAGACAGACAGACAGACCAACTTTATTAATAAATCTTATTCCACAAAAAACTCACAGGTTACATCAAATCTTTTAAAATGCAGAAGTACAAAATCCCACGTAAGTGTACTAGGACCAGGAAAATAGAGATGAAGATCTATCTACACCTCTTTAAGGTCATCTTAAAACAGGATCCTGTCCTGATCTTGATCAAATAAGATAGGATCAATGTTTGCATCAGAAACAGAGGGAATTAAATGGTATAATAGATGTTGAGCTTTGCTGGCATTGGACAGAACACACAATGAGAATAATATAACTGGAAGGGCATTAAATTGGAACTCTCAAGGGCATCAAAATAAAAGTAGACCAAAGAAACACATGGGGATGGGAGCTAGAGGGTAAAGTTTTTAAAAAAAATGGGGAAGACATGGGGTTAGCTGCATGTGTTAGCAAAGGTTAGGATGAACTGGTGCGAGTTGGTTGAGGACCTATGCTCCGTTGAAGAAGATGTTTGCATGCATCGACCTGAGAAGCGAGGAACAAATGATCCGCACACAAATAAGCCAGATCTGTAGAACAGTTATGCATACAAAACTCAAATCTTGGAATACGACCAAAACCTAAAAGTGGGCGAACAACAACCTGGTAAAGGTGATGATGAAGAAATCAAGTCTTTTAATTTTCAGACCAAACAAGCTGCCTCAAGTCTCGAACATGTAAAACAACAAGCTATAATACAAATTATAATTTTAATGCAACGACAGTATTGTCTTTACATCCAATGACAACTTCCAATGTGCCATCTCCATCAATGTCAGCTTTTGCAATGCTAGTGACCCAGTCACTTGTAGGATATTCCATTATTAACTGAAAATCAGAAACATAGATAAATATATGAAATACAAATTTCCACATTATAGTCAAAAACAAAACAGAATTGGACCATGTTTTAAAATTAAACTGTTTAAATGTACTGACCTATTTTATTTTATCCCTAAATCATAATTTAAAAAATATTAATTTTATGGTTATTATAATAAGTAAGTAAGTAAATTTACAAAACCAGGACATCACACAAGTGGTAAACACCCGATGATACAAAGTGCCACCATACGGATGAGGATCACCCGTAGAGATCTCAAAAACCCCTTTCAGCCGTTAGCCATATCTATGACTAGGCCATATCTATGCCCTGGTTATATTTAGGGCCCCCGGCAGAAGCCAGGGTGGGGCTTCGAACAAAAAATTGCATTGTACGATGCGATGACTTTCTTTTATCTTCTATCTGGCTCGCATCATCCCACGCTTGTTATCTCACATACCGACATCACACGACGAGCAGAAAATGGACGACTCGAAAAACAACACGATACTGTTCAGCACTTTAATCTTCTACTCGCGGCTTACACAGCCGGCACATGAAATAGACTACTGTCCAGGCACACATTATAACTCAAATATCAAAAGTATCTATTACCTTCTGTTCGAAATCACAATCATCCTACACTATCATAATGAACGAAAACACAACAGCTGTCCTGACAGAAAAACTAACATGGCCCGCAGACATCATATTGCCTGCCAGCTTTTTTGCCAAGTTGGACTGGAACAAATTCACTCAACACATGTTGAATCCACACATCTTCCATCGTTGTCCATGCACTCTGTTCCTGGGCCCAAACGAGACTGCCTCTTAGCCCTTTTTACGCTATTATATAGTCTTCTAATCCCCGCTTCGTTTTTCCTGAATATTCTGTGTCCCTTCTGTCTCACGAATTCCATTTGGCTGGACATGGTGCGTGGCACGTGATTCCTCGTACTTCGCATGAAGTTCGACAGTCAACGTTTCTATTCACGTGAATAATTATGCTTCACACAAAGTTTGACTATCAGCCTTTTTCCGTAACTCCTGTGAAGTTCAGACTCAACAATCCCCATGCCGTCCCAGTTAGAGTAAAAATATTCCACTCACATTTATTACTGACGTCATCTGTCGGGCAAAAATTAACTGGGAGAAAATGAGATTCACTACATACAAGGGGATGACTAATAAGTAGTTCTTTAAGGCAACTTTTATAGTAGTTTCCAATAACGCACATTCTAATATGGTCTGCAATTATACTGTTAAAAAAAAAAACCATGTAGTTATCTAATGGCACGTTTTTAATTAGTTGACGGGGGCCAGCATGCTTTAAAACTTGTGTAAAGGTTCAAAAGAACTGTCAATTCATTGGTTGAACCCAAAGGTATTCTTGTGTACAATTTGAACAGTTTTAATCATAAAGTTACAAAGACCTTGAATGTCAAAATGATGTCCCCTTTCTGTAGCTAATCGGCGTCTGTGGTTTAGGTGTTGCGAACGAGCTTTGTACTGCTGGGTTCAATCCCAGCTGCAGACGATTTGTCTTGCGCTGGTTTCGACAGTGGTGCCGAGAGCTGACCGTTTAAAAAGCAATGACAAACTACAACAGCCAAACAATGCTGGGGTTGGTCTTGTAAAGGATACGCAACTAACTTCTGAAGCTATGCGTGTGTTTTTTGGGGGTTTTTTTCACGATGAAAGACAGCTGCAGATCCTCTTTGAGATGTCACAGACTAACCACTGCATTTATTAGCTGTGTAGTATTGCTAAGCATTATTATGTTCTGCAGGTTGCCATTGTTGCCTGAATGGCACGATACACCATTCTTAAAAAACAATTGCAAAGGTCTGCTTTCAAATTAAGAAATTGCTGTATAATTTGAGCAATAAACGTGGGCAGTATCTTCAGCAGATTCTGTCCTTGACCCTGTTTTGCAGTCTGCTAGGCTGCACCCTGGCCCTTTGCTAATGTTCTTCTTCTTCATCATTCCAAGCCCTTGAGGTTCATTGCTGCAGATATCACCCACCTCCATTCATCTTTCTGGTTGGCCTTCTCTTTCCAGTTGGTGACACCAAGTGTTTGCAGGTCTGTCTGGATATTATCTCTCTATCGTCTTCTTGGTCCGCCCCATAGTCTGACCATTCATCTCCCTTGTGTATACAGTTTTTACTTCTCTGTCATCTGACATTCTGTCAATATGCCCCAACCATTTCAGTCTATTAGCTCTAATGTTGCCTGTTCATTTTCATATCTTTTATTCTTTTCTTTTTATTCAACTGTTCTTTCCATTTGGTTTTTAGCGGACTAGAGGAGCGGCTGTTCGAAAGGTTTAGAACACAGGGTCCCTCATGCAGAAGACCCTGGTTCAAATCTTTAGTAAGGTTGGGTATTTGTTGCTGTCTAAATCTTCAGGCTCAAAGACTTCCCTGCACACACCGAAGAAATGGTACAAACAGTAAAGGCAGGATTTGTGTGATGCTGACAACATCACCCACTAAGTGCCAAGTTGTCTTCAAAATATACAGCCCTATATGCTCTTTATGCCTGAGGTGTGTAAAAGGGCTCTTTATTTTTTTAATGACAGGATTTCCCCTCAACAGACTTACATCATTTGACATGATAAAGTACCTGCTCTTTCTTATTTTTACTTGCTTCAGCAGCATGCGTTTCAAATTTGAGTCCAAAAACTTCCTTATTTTTTCATATCCCAAATAAACAAACAAAAATCTGCCAAAGATTGATTTAAAACAAAAAACATTGGCTATGAAAAATGTATACCTGACCATCCTTATACAGATGCAGAGCACTGAAGTATCCTGCACAAAGCAACAGATCTGTACTGCTATCGGACTGAGGTAGTGTACACAGATTTGTGACTGTACATTTGGCATGGACAAATTCATCCAGTGTTACCTAGGATAATGTAGGGCAGAGAACATTAGAGGCACAGAATGTGAATAAAACATAATGGTTCTATTTGCATAATTTGTTGGTGCATTGGGCATTTGATGCCAGCCCATATTTCTATAGACCAATCAGGACTAGATGGGTGATGCCAGTATCGCACTGGCCACCTTTACTTCTCAGGATATTTCCTGGTGCCCAGTTTAGGTTAGGTCAGTCTGGCAGTCAAGGTCATTTTTAAAAATTGGATTTGAAATTCAGACCACCTGGCCAATAACTAGCCTACCAACCACTGCACTGTTGTAGATCCCATTATAAGTGCAGTACTACATCCATGTTTGGGCAACCACTGGTATCAGTTATAAGACAAAGAAGGTGGCACTATATTGGATATACATTGAGAAGAAACGAGCAGAGAATCACCAAACAAGCATTACAATGGGAAATAAAGGGATTGAGGGAGCGAGGACATTCAAACGAAACCCTAAAACAATTGTTGATGAGAGAGGCCAAAGGTGCTGGACTGGATTTCATTTACGATATCAAAGTGACCACAAAGGATAGAACAGAATGAAGAAACAGACTACTGGCCGGTTCTTCACTACTTGGTGAACTGAAGTACAACAAGCTAGACGTTGCGAGGGCCCTCTGGGAGTGAGGAAGTGCAAACAGATCATTATGGTCTGAGGAGAATGAAGCTGCGAGGAGTTACCAGGAGATCTCGCCAACGCTCAACACTCAAGGGAAGGGTGAGACGGATATACAATCAGACAGTGACTGGTGCCATCCGAATTGGAACTCTTTGTTTGCTGCTGAAGATGGGGATGGAGCGCTTATGGCAGTGTCCCGAGTGCTATGGTGTCGATTCCTAATTCAACATTCAACACTGTGACATATAAATGCACAATAGAACAATGATACATCTATAATCTAAACCATCTGGGAATTAGGGTTACGTGGGTTTTTATTAAGAAGACTTTCATAACCATTAAAATGATTCTATTTTGTAAACTGACATTTGCAGCATGGCTTGAGTGTACAGGTCTTCAGTGTGGAGCACACATTTACCATCTTTCATTTATTCTTGAGTACAGTGCTATTCACCTCATTATTCACTAACATAACAATCTTTGCGGAAAAGGGGGGGGGGGGGGGGGGGGGGGGGGGGGGGGGGGGGAGAAGCCTGCACAAAATAAGCAACTGATAAAGAAGACAAAATATGCATTTGTTCACCATCTCTCTCAGATTACAAACTGCTATAAAAAACAAATCTCCACCATTGCTGGTCCAAATCCTGGATGAGAAAGGAGGAGGGTTGGGTGTGTGGGCCAGCTACACCCATCCCTGTAAAAAGAAAGAAACTACAGACAAAACAGAATGTTCTGGAATACTAGTTTGCAAGCACTATGTGAGATATAATGGTTCAAGAGGATGATGATATATATGAACTGAGATGAGAGGAACTAAAATATTGTTAACAACCGGAAAGATGAGGATTCAAAGTTACGAAGTTCAAATTAAATCGGTGCCTCACTAGAGGGGCAATTGTATTTCTACTTCTGCGTTGGCCAGCTGTGAACTGCAGCGAAAATACTTGTTCTTATTTGTGTGTAAAAGGTTGGTTCCATACCTCTCAGGTAGATGTGCTCCAATTTCAGGGGAAATATCAGTTTCAACCACCTTGGCCAGGCCTCCAGTAGGGAACCATGGACAGGTTAAGATCTTCTTTTTTCTACTTCTTCTTAGTGATCACTGGCTGTAAACTCTGGCGGAACGTTCTGGTTTGTGCACTCCTAGACTTCTGTCTTCATCCAGAGCTTGAGTTTTGTGAGCACATCTGTTTTACAGATGAAGCCTATTTGTATGCAGATTCACTCCGACTCTGAGAGAAACAAACACCCCTAATTAGTCGCCGCCTACGATATGCTTGTTAGGGGGATAGTGGCTCTGTTCTTTGTTCTCCAAAATTGAGCTCTGGAAACCCACATGGGAAAAGATGTGATGATCAATCCCGACCAGTCTGAGCGCCTGGTTCCAGTGCATAACCAGTTGGTTGTGATGTACCTTTGCATCCCAAGTCAACACACGGCAACAAGTCAACCCTACACTGGCAGTGCACTGAGTTCACTTTCTGTTTTGTTAACTTCTCTCGGCGTCAGTCAGAACAACAACTGATACTTACATGAAAATTGTGAAGAATATAAACTGCGCCATTGCTAGCTCCCAAGGCTACTTGCTCACTGTCGGATGCTGATGATGAAGTTCCTGGTGGCAGGCTTAACTTGCTGGATGGTACGAAGCGACCTTGGGTCATCTTTACAGATTTGAGAAAAATGATTATATATGTGTGTGTTCGTGTGTTAATATGCATATATAAAAAAAACAACTATACATCTTTTAAAACTTAATGCAACTGTTTTTGATATCATCATGTACAATACTCAATATAGTGTACCTCTGTTGTTACCAAGAATATGAAGTAGTGAGACTTCAATCTCTTCCATGATGAGAATCTCATACTAATGTCCTAAAACCAGTTTCATCCCTGAAGTACATGTCACACAAAGCCCGATTTTCTCTGTCAAATTCATGCAACCAGTTGTTTGCTCCTTCTCCACCACAAATCAGTAATGATGAAACTGGGTGTCTTTTTTTTTAATAACAAGTAGGCCAGCCAGTGGAACAACTGAAATCGTGACTGCCTAACTTGTTGGCATTTTCATTTCCTTTTGACTGAATGATAGGTCCACTTAAAGGAGTTGAGTTGAGTCAAGAATTGACATCACAGCATTCGGGGCATTCCCATGCGTGCTCCGTCCTTATCTTCAGCAGCCAGCGCAGAGTCCCAATACTGATGATACTGGTCACAAGCTTGTTATATCACTTAAAGAAAGACTGGAAGTGCTTGAACTTTTCTAGAAGTAATATTTTGATGTCTCAGTACTTAGCACTACAAAGCTAAGAGTTTTTCCTAGAATCTGATGCACCAGCATTGAGAATTGTTTCAGGATATTTAAGTATCGTAGATAAGGTAGACTTGGCAATTTCATACTGTTCAGCAACTGCACTTTTCTTCAGTGTACCATGGTGTCTTACCTCTAGGATTGTTAGTTGTGTTTTCAGATCTATGCCTACATGCTTCCTCTTGCATTACTCCCATATTACTGCTTGTTTTAAAAACTGAATTAAATACTGTAAATTGAACATATTGTTAAACTGAATCTATTGGTTAAAGTATAAGTTGACTGCTGAAATGATGATTGCTAGTGTCAAGCAACTGCATCAAGTACGGTTAAAAACAATAACTTGAATTCTGTAATTTTAACTTAATTTCTTTCATACCTAGCAGAGAAACAAAAGAAAAAATAAGAAAAGATTTGGAAGTTCAAGTTAAATTTGATTTAGTGATGCAACAGATTAAAAAAGCAGCTCGTAGTTTTTGCATTAAAACTGTTCAGGTAACATTGGATCCGGTTTGGACATCTAGTGAGAGTGCAGCAAGACCAAAATCTGAATGAGACTATTTTTACATCAGAACATCTAGGAGGAAGGTAAAGGGAAGACCAAGAAAGAGACGGATAAACAGTGTAGCTAAAATCCACCACCCGAGAAAAAGTATCAGTGAGACGACAAAAGAAGAAGATGTGATGGACTAAAAAACAGTTCATAGTGTTCGCGTTAACCACAAAAAAATTTCACAATAAATAATTCACCTCCACTGGCACATACATTTTATCTGTGTTAACTGAGTATTCTTCTTAAGCAAGTTTGTGTTAACAAAGGTTCACTGTATAATAAAATCAAAAGATGATAACTAAATCACTCAAACAATGATGCACATCACTTACTGCAGTAATAACAGAAGGTGTCATGAGGGATGATACAACTGTTCCATTGCAGATAACATGTATTCTATTTGAATTGTCTGCTGCAAGTAAGTACTGTCTTCTGTTTCCCGTTGAGTCTGTAATCTGTACTGTCTGTAGGCATGAAACTTTCACTATATGAGATGGGTTCTGAAGAGAAAATAAAATCATCATTTTTTTTAAAAAATCTTGTATGAAGCTCTGCAGATCCATAGATCAAGTTTTCTGGTTAAGAACTAATATCATAGCACTCAGGACTTTCCCATAAGAGCTCCATCCACATCTTCAGCACCCAGCTGAGAGATCCGGTTCCGATGGTACTGGGAGTCTGATTCATCTGTCCTTTCCTCTGAGTGTTGAACAGATCCCCTGGTCAAATCCGCTGCAACGTTCTGTTCAGGCTGTGATGATCTATTTGTGTTTCCACATCTTTCACTCGCTCTCAAAGGGCCTCTACCACATCTAGTTTGTCATGCATCAATTTACCACTAAGTAGTATAAAACCAGTGGTTTTCTGGTTATCACCCTTATATATTGATTTGGCTGTACCAATGTTAACCTGTATTAAGTAGCTTTCTGGCATTCACTATGATCTCAACTCTTTTGGTCTCAAAAACTTGAGATGTGTGACTCATCCCATGAGGTTCTGCCACTGCATAGCATGTCCCTCAGATTTGTGCAGCTCTTTAGAGTATACACAGGAAAATATAGTTTCCCTAGTGGTCATACAGCCTATTGGGGTTTCTACCTATTTGACTCTCATCTCCGAGTTGTTAGTCCCACAGAATGCAATCCTGGATTCGGGAAATGGAAGCAAAACCTGAATTGTTATTCTAAATATTCCTGTGGATAAGTGCTGGAAACATCTTTTGGAACTTAAATAGTTGACTTATCATGCTTGTGAACTATGTTCGGCAACCTGCATTAAAAAAATTTGAGATGTACTTTAAGAAAAGCACTAGACGGAATGACACGTCTAGTGCAAATAGTTTCAATTACAGAAACGTATAGTGCCTTTGACTACAACTGTTACCAAGAATATGTGAATCCTGGACAATTAATAAACAAACCAAACAATTTCTTGAAGCCTCAGAAACGTGATTTTACGGAAGAATCGTTAGAATTCCTTGGAAAGCACAAAAAGGAAAACAGATGAAAGAGGCAAGAACTCGAAGTCAGCTTATCACAAACATCAGAAAGAGACAGTCATAATTGTTATGGTTATTTTTTTAGAAGAAGGAAACTGGAACATGTTGTGACCACTGGAAAGATCTGTGGAGAAAGAGACAGAGGAAGACAACATGAGAAAATTCTTGACAGCCCTTTGGTATGGCACGGAGGGGTGTCAACGTATGAACTGATACACACAGTTGCAGATTGTGGAGAGGCTTGATCGGACTTGCCAGTCAGCAAGGCACCTGATGATGAAGGGTTCTTGTGGGTAGATGTGCTATACAAATGTTAAAACTTTTAACAGAAAAAAGTATTACTAACAGTATTATATTTTCAGTACTATCTAAAAGCATAACAAGAGATGAGATATTTTAGAAGAGCTGCAGAGTAACAAGAAGAGAGACAATTAAAAATTAGTAAATCAGAAGAAACAAAAAGGATGATCTAAAAACCAGTCACATGGTTCATTTCATTAAAGAGTAATAACAGAGATGGCTAGCCATCTGATAAGAATTATCTGATACCCATCACCACAGAGAGCCACACTAAAGAAATGTAATCAACAGAGGGCGAGGGAGGAGACACACAAAATATGGAACAGCATCAAGAACAACCTCAAAGAAATGAAGATCAACTTAAAAGAAGCGCATAGAACATCTTCACCCCAACACCTCGATGAGGAAACTGGAGGAAAAAAGAAGAATAATGTCTGATACCGGTGACTGCGTGATATGTATTTAGAGTAATATTAATATGTAATTTCAAAAATGCCACGAAAGTTAACAGTAGAAGTATATGCCATCATTTTTATTAGTTTTTGTGTGTTTTGTTTTGTTTACTGACATAGACAGTTATGCATCTGTAAATATTGGTGATTTCCTTCACATGTCTATAATAAATAACCTTTATGTTTCAGAACACTGTGTTTTTTTCTCTGTGACAGTAACTAAACCAGAGACGATGAATCTTTACTGACCAATATTTTTATTTGGTATTCAACAGTGATGATATTCAAGAGGATATGTTTTTTAAATGTTTGCTTGGTTTTATGAATTAAAAACAAAAAAAAATAAAAAGATACCTTGTTTGATAAACTATTTAAATTGATTCTCCAGAGTTCTTTTGTAGGCTGAACCCATGTGATGACACCAGAATCATTTGAACACACAATAATAGGGCTTCCACCTATACGATAAATACATATATAATTATAATGTGATATAATATGCCTTCACAATTATTTACCACACAAAGACGTTTCCTGAACTAGCTGATGCCTTTTCAGTAAAAACTGAACTCTCCTGTTTTATGTAAACAAAAAGATCTTATGATAAATTTGAAGTTATGGTAATCACGTGGCTGATTTTGAATTCCCAGTGAAGAGATGAACAGCATAACCTGACAATGAAATTCCTTTCTATGCTTCACTATATGTTGAATCAACTCTGGAGTAATGCATGTGATGAGATACAGCTAAATATGCCAGGCAATAAACTGTGCAGCCTAATGTTTGTGTCTGAATTATTTAAATATAATGTGACAGTCAAATGTCATTATGGAGCTTGGACTGAATCATTATTGTGGAAAGTGTGTTTACTCTGCACTGGCCACTGAAAACGGGGAAAGAGTGCTTATGGGAATTGCACAACTGCTATAATATCAGTTCTTAACTCACCCAACTCTATGCACAAATACAATCACAATGCTTTTACAGACAAATATACCCTATTCAGCCATAATAAAATAACATTTAATTGTTTTTCTACATGCTATTTTCAATTGAAATTCCTATAATACTTGGTAGAAGAAAACAATTACGCAAATCATACTGCTAGTGGTTTTCTATACTTGAGTGGTACCATGTTTTTAATATTAAATCACTTTCTGTGACTATATGTCTATTATTTCTGAAAATCGCGAACATAATATGCTGTTTTGTTCAGCAGTTTTATCATTGAAAGTTCTGTGCTCAACTCTGTCAAGAAAATTCTTGCCCCACTTCAGCTCATCTAAACATTATACTGAACTTACCTTATATGAATGTATGTATGTGTGTGTGTGTACGCACGAGCATATACATAAACAAAAGTACTGGTTACATATTATTTACCGTTATCCTCAACCACAGTGACACAGATTATACTGTCTGATGACAGAGACTGCCGAGAAAGGATCTGGCGGTTGCAAAACCACAGTCAGCATTTCCACATGAATCTCCCACTATCAGATCATTGTGATAAAACTTAGTGATATCATGCACTCTAAGGCACTGAATTGGTCCACTCTTTGTCTCCAACACCGTCTGAAAACAGTATATTAACAGTTTAACATGTGTATTACATATATGTATATATACCTTCAACAATTTGATTAATTCGAGAAAGGTCAAAATAAGAGAATGTCTGCAAAACTGCTGACATCAACAGTTATAAGAGAAAAAAGATGAATATATTTGGCACATTCTAAGAGGACGGTAACAAATAATTATAAAAGAGACATTGAAATAAGAAACAAATGGAATAAGAAGGTTAGGATACCCAATATGGTGTTCACAGCAAAGTAATTATTAGAGAAGCGCTGAAAAAAATTATGCATAAAAAAGTGTGCAGGTACTGCATACCACCAGAAAAAAATCTCTGCAGACATGTATACGTACGTTCAAACATTCAGTGTTAATTGTATGTAAGCATATGCGTATGTTTAAAATGCGTGTGCACTGACAAATGGAAATGGTATAACTGGGGCGCAAACTGAAGGACAAACAAGAAGATGGGACAGTTATTCAGAAGTGTATGACTAATAATGTTGGATAAATTTCCTCCTCTCCAAAGCACAAACGCAGGACAGTACTGTAGAGTTCAGTTGCTGCCCAGAAGCTGTTAGATCAGAAAAGCAGTGCTCTATCAGCCTGTCGGAGCTTTTTTTTTAGACCAGCTTCTAGTTAAGGCAAAGGGCCTGGTCTACCCTCCTATAAACAAAACATTTTCAGGTTGCATTCCCTCTTCCTAGGATAAGGTTAGTGTCCTCTCTGATGCACTCTTCTACCTGAAGATGTTGGTACAATATGCATGCAGTGAAATATAGTCAACAGATTTAATCACAAACAAGACAGATATTCATATAGGCAGATATTGAGACAAGACAGAGCAACTTTGTGTGGATGATTGTAAACATAAATATGATAATCCATATACTCTCATACTTTCAATCGAAAACTGCAACCTTTGCTATGAAAAAGGTACTTGTAAATTAATGATGATTAGCGTTAAAATTTTATTTTATAATTCATATAATCCTATATGCAGATGAAAGCAAAGTTAAAAACTATATACACAAGGGAGATGAATGGTCGTAGAACATGAGGCAGACAAAGAAGACGATAGAGAGATAATGTCCAGACAGACCTGCAAACATCTGATGTCACTAACTGGAAAGAGAAGGCCAACAAAGAGGTGAATGGAGGCAAGTGATATCTGCAGCAAGGAACCTCAAGGGCTCGGAATGCTGAAGAAAAAGAAAAAGATATAATCCTATATGTTGAATACACAACTGTATCATACACAGTAAAAGTTACCATAAGTAAATAAGCTATTATACCAACACTAACTTAGGACTCAGAAACCTGCAGTACAACTTATAAAGGTAAAGCTGGGAGATGTGAACCAGTGTCATTGCACACAGTTATAAACATAAGTGCTCTGCCACCAGTACGGACAGCTGATAAGAAACTGTCCGCCTGTGTCGCCGTCCCCACACAACTCTGTAGCTACATCGACCTTACTCCATTTTACACCAAGAGTGTTAGCTCTGGCACCCATTGGCTAGAGGCTGGGTGAACCCCAGGAACCGCCCGATTTTAAACACCGGCCGTGGGCTGCAGCGAGTTGCAGCTGGATTTGACTATCGACTGCGTTAACGCGGTCCTCTAGTAATCTAATGAATTCTTATACTGCCAGAATGTTGTTAAAGTAACAATTTTTCAAATTTAAAAAACAAAAAATATCTTCTCATAGATTTGCAACATATGCAACACAGGACTATCTGCACTTACAATCAAAATAAATAAAATTAGTAAATAAAGAAAGATAATAACATTGGCAGGGTCAACAAGTTCTAGGAACTGAGGCAGCAGATCAAAAATTTTGTTAGTCAGAATGGAACTCGCTCGTAAGTCAAGGAAACCCTAAATAAATGTTAAAAAGTAATACTGACACAGAATATTAATACAGAAAACTAAACAAATACTTATACTTCTACATGTACATTTTACCAATGTCTGACATCAAAGCAAGCGACAACAGCAGAAAAAATTAATGACTGAGACAGCTAACACAAATAAAGTGACAAATTAAAATGAAGGTGCTGAACCAACTAACAGAACAAAGTAAAAAAATGGTGGCCTACAATAATGTGATTGTGCCTCATTAAATTATGTGTTACTCGTGTGGGTTCTGGGGCCCAATTGTGGGTACAACCAGAATAGACCCACTGCCTCCTCAACAAGCATGTTGTAGGAATGACTAATTGGTGGGCATCCTTTGAAGTCTAAGTAAATCTGCCTGAGAGGTGAGGAATCAACAGTCTGCATAGAAATAAGCCAGATCTGTAAAACAGATGTGCATGCAACACTCAGGTTCTGGAACAAGACTAAATTCCAGAGGTGGATGAACAACCAGAAATTTGCATCAGAGTTTACAGCCAGGAAACAAGAAAAAGAAGAAACTATACTTTAAATACAACTCACATTACAAAGTAAAGACAGCTTGTGCACAATTACGCACAAGGGTTGAGAAAGTGCAGAAAAAAAAAATTTATAATCAAAAAGATATCCAATATATTACTCAACAAGTAATCTTTGTCCTCTTGTATCAGTGATGCTGGTATTTTTACAACTGTCTTGACATTGACCTGGCTGCCACACAATACGAAGATAAGTGATATTGTGTATTTGTGTAGTGTCTAATCCATGTATGTGCTGAAGAAGGCTCCATAGCCGCAATGTTCACGTTTTGTTTGATTTTGATATATTGTGAAGCTCGCTGATATACTTTTTTGTACGGTTTAAAATCTTTCTATGGTAGTTTTACAATGTTACAATATGTCACACATGATATTACCTGCGAATTTAAATTCAGACATTTTGCAGATACATCATAAATTCTGACCAAGCCATCTTCACATCCAACAATCAAACTCAGTTCTTTTGGCCTGTGTGAGAAAAATGTGTATATCTATAGATTGAAGATGACCAGATTTATTAATTTGGTAACATTCCAGAATAATGTGTATTCTGAATTACAAATACACAACAGTCTAAGTGACCAAGCCATGTTTTTTACCCACGTTACTTCATATTCTAAATGCTGATGCTCAAAACTTTTTTTTTGGTACGCAGAACATGCACCTTTTTTAGGCATCATGTTTTCAGTGATACTTTAACCCTTTGGAGATGGAGCTTTTTTTTGGGAGTTTCAGTGCCAAAAAGATGAAGCCTTCAGGGAAAAACTCTCTTAATTTACACACAAAAATGATAAAAAATAAATTGTGTCATTAACATACACAAAACTACACATATTCCGAGAGGAAAATGAATGAACTAACAGAATATGTATGAATCAAAATGAAATCTCAACATTTATTCAAATTAACTATTATGATTTGCATAATTTCTGCAAGCATTTTTTTTTAAATTTGGGAACAATGACTAGTCTGAAAATTTTTGGGTGAATTTTTTTATGGACGAAGCCTGAATAAGTACAAAGACTTGTGTTTTGAGAAAATAAGGCCCATGGAGGCCGTTCAGACACTTTTGACACATGGTTCTACTCAATTTCATGCCATCTGCTATGTTTCAGTTGCTATGACCCAAATGGCCTTTTTACCGTCGTTGGGCACAGGTAGGCCCACATACACACAAATATCACTGTAAAGTTACAGAACACATCAAACTGCCTCGAAAGCCGTCATTTAACAGTCCACAGATGCAAGAAATGTGAAAAGCAATCTGATTGGCTGGTACAAAAACCTGCCAGCCAATCTCAAGGCTTGTTGTACACAGGGCCAATCGATCAGTCGGGTCGTCCTTTTGGCTACTTTGCGCTGTGCCGATATTTCGGCCGCATTTTCTCTAGAGGGTTAATAGACACTTTGTGCTGAGTAATGGCACGTTTTAAAAGACTTTGTAGTATGGACCAGCACCTTTTTTGACACTTGTGGTGAGTGTCAGCAACTTTGTTGCTAAATTTTTAATTTTAAACTAGTTCTGTGACTGAATGATAGGTCCACTTAAAGGAGTTGAGTTGAGTCAAGAATTGACATCACAGCATTCGGGGCATTTCCATGCGTGCTCCGTCCTTATCTTCAGCAGCCAGCGCAGAGTCCCAATACTGATGATACTGGTCACAAGCTTGTTATATCACTTAAAGAAAGACTGGAAGTGCTTGAACTTTTCTAGAAGTAATATTTTGATGTCTCAGTACTTAGCACTACAAAGCTAAGAGTTTTTCCTAGAATCTGATGCACCAGCATTGAGAATTGTTTCAGGATATTTAAGTATCGTAGATAAGGTAGACTTGGCAATTTCATACTGTTCAGCAACTGCACTTTTCTTCAGTGTACCATGGTGTCTTACCTCTAGGATTGTTAGTTGTGTTTTCAGATCTATGCCTACATGCTTCCTCTTGCATTACTCCCATATTACTGCTTGTTTTAAAAACTGAATTACAATACTGTAAATTGAACATATTGTTAAACTGAATCTATTGGTTAAAGTATAAGTTGACTGCTGAAATGATGATTGCTAGTGTATTTGCATATTTGACCTTATTTTTAGAAACAGCTATCAAGACTGCCTTGTAGTATCATTATCATCACTAATAGCTAAGATATTGTCATGGACGCTAATTGGCCACTAAATTTGGCTCTTCCGGCATGAGCATATGTTCGTATTGCGACCGTTAAAAAAAGGGGAGCATTGACCCTAATTAAGGAACTATTTTTCCGTACTCATTATGTGAAAACAGCATCTCGAGACAACTATTAGGAGTTATTGTAGAGGTGCCAGGCTGTGATATAACAAGGTTTTGCTGCGCAAACAATAAATAATACATACTCACCCACAAAGTGCAGGCTAATCCATATGTGTGCACAGTGGCAATGTTTGTGCAATTATGAATACAATGAAATTTATATGGTGCACAAATTCAATTTTAATCACTATAAGTTAGATAGCATCTTAGATCTTCTTCTTCTCCTTCATCTTAGTGCACTTGTATTCATGGCGAGGCGCAGACGCCGTCTGGAGGTGACAGGTTCAATTCCCGGCACGGTAACTATAGCTTTCGATTTTTATGTTGTCTAGTGTGTTCTTCTATCTTTCTACTTCTTTCTATGAGTGCCGTTCACAATACTTTCTGTTACTTGATTAATTCTTCTCCTTCAGCAATCTGAGCCCTTGAGGTTCATTGCTGCAGATATCACCCGCTTGAATTCATCTCTTTGGTTGGCATCTTAGAAAGCATCCAAAATGTTCAACACACTTTATACAGGGCTCCATTAAAATATTTACAATCAAGTTATAAAACTATAGAGTAAAAGCAGAACACACAGTGGCTAAGTTGTTAAGCCATTTGCCTCATGGTCCAAATGTTGTAGTTGTAGGCTCTCTGGGAATCGCTGCTAGAGCTATGGAGGTTGTGAATCATTCTCAAGAGGTGGCTACAGCCTGGAATCCATCTTTCGTCAGATTCCACTTTAATTTGTCTATGGTGCTAACCACCACTAAAATGTTAATATCTTCACTTCGAATTAACTTACAGACTTCACTGAGGTATTGTTGGATTTGTAATGTTAATCTCTATCTTGATGTGATGGTTTCATAAGTTAAGTAAAAACCCAATATTTAAAATTTTACTAGCATCCCTATCAGTAATTTAAAAACCCATATAAGTATACAGTATATCTCATATCATTGGCAAGTATAATTAATAATGAACTGTTATTTAAAATGTATTTTATAAAAGTTATTTTATGCAAAAAATATTTATTATAAACCACTTAATCGATGCTCACACACAAAATGTTAAACTACAATGTATGAGTCAACCTAACTGTTAGGAACCAACATCACAGCGCTCTGTCCCCATCTTCAGCAGCAAGAGCATTTTTCGAATTCTGATGGTTCGCACTTCATCCTACATACAGTCAGTAACAGTACTAATATGTTATTACTAACTAACTTTACTGTCCTAAGTCTGATTGTGGTAAATTAAAATAGTAAATAATAACAGTATTAGTAATAGGCTATCCTCCGACTAACGGTTGGCAAAGATGGCGGCCGCAAAATATACATTCAAGCCACAGTCACGTGTCATGTGTTGTAAACAGTCAAAAATTGAAGTGGAAACAAATAAGGAACGAAAACTAATAAGGAGCGACAAAAATGTTACATCAAATCGACTACTTAACGATAACTGTATGCCTTAATATCTGGAAATTATGGCACAAACGTTCTAAATAGTGCTCGAAAATCTGCTGTTTGTGGCTGTTACGCCACTGAAACTCAGCTAAGTACGATCGGAACAAGGCGCGGCTCGTACCACCTTTCTTTTTAGTAACATCCACAGATCGGCTATCCTCCGAAAAACGGGCACAAAAGATGTCGACAAAAAACTCACGTGTCAATATTGAACTTCCAGCGACTTAATTTGCGGTTTTCTGGCGACTACTGCCACCGCCGAGAGTGGGGCTAAACTAGATGGCTAGGACTCATGAGCAAAGCTGCAGGAGATGCGGAAGCTGCTGCTCGTGGGTCCCAGCCATCAAGTTTAGCCCCCATCCGCGCCGCGCGTAGCGGCACGGTGGAGACTCTCGGTGGCGAGTTTAACTCGGCGGTTTGTTCCGTTTCTCGAAGTTGTCACCAGACACTAATTACTAGTTTTGTCGCGATGTGCTCGTGACCGCAAGTGTGCAATAGACACGTGACTGTGGCTCGACTGGATATTTTGCGGCTGCCATCTTTGTCGACCGTTAGTCGGTGGACAGCCTAGTATAGTAGTGTGAGTGTCAAGTGTGATTGTCCGAACTATAAAATATTAATTATTATTTACCTGAACAAAGTAGCTAAAGCCATGGTACAAAATCCTTCAGTGAGTTTTGTCGACCATAGTTCTGTACAAGGCGCAACAACAGGCATTCTCATTTATAAATTATATTTAACCAATACACAATAATTGCTATATGAAACTTTTTTTTCTTTCTTTTTTGCAAGATTGGAATAACAAAACTTTTCTTTTCTCTCTAGAAACCAAAAAAGCTCTTGTTATGATGGAGGTATTCAACTTCCGGTGCTGTGTTTATCAATGGCTGGAAACGAAACAAGCAGTTCTAACAATGTTCCAGTGGCTTTACCTTCCAGGCCGCTATTTGCAGCAGCTAGCATATTTCCCTCCATAAATATAATTAAGGATGACACCGCGTCAACAAACAAGGGATCACACGGTAGCTACTGCTGCTTCTTTTCTTTCTTCTTGATATTCTTTTTCGCTGGCTGCTAAAGATCAAAAGAAGATTAGGACGGAGCGCTTAATGGTTATAATAGTATATAGTTATGGGAATTGTTCGTGATGTCTTGCACTCTCCTAGCTTAACACTCTTCACTTCTCCTTTTTCTTCCACCTCCCCCTCATTTTCTCCCTGTTTCTGTATGTTATCCCTTCCTTATTAAGACATTTTTGTAAAGAGTGGTCCTGTTTGCAATAATAACAGCTGTTTTTAGTCTTGTTCCAGATGAGATCTGAGTGTATCATGCACATTCATTTTACAGATCTGACTTATTTGAATGCAGACTGTTGGTTGCTTTGGGGATGTAAAAGTAGGCTATCCTCCAAATAACGGTCCCAAATTATCGAGGCCGAAAATATACCCTTGGCTGAAGGTCAGCTTGTATTTCCTGACTTTGCCGGAATTTCGCACTCAGTTCACCTTTATGTCAGGGGTCTTTACTAGACTCATGGTGACTCTCGCTTTACATTTCATAGAGTATTCAAGAAAAATCCCAGTGACTGAGTTCACTCATGCGAATATATATATTCCAAAAAAATAAAACCAACACACAAAAGAGTGCTGATTTGTCTATAAAGATATATCTAGCATTATATGCCTGATGGACCACTGGCATGAAATAGGTCCTTTACTTTCTATTTAGATACAGCTTGTAGTATGAAAATATCATCATCATGTGCCATGTCATTAAGCATAGGCAGTCATGAATTGGGATTCCGCACGATCACCAGAATTGATTGAGTGAGTTTTTCAGAGGCAACTAAGTGAGGTTATTTTTAAACATGGGAGCTGCATAGCAGATATATTGAAGAAAAAGACTGAACATCATTGCATAGGATCATAAATGCCAGTTACTTGAAAATGGATTGTTAATTCAAGTCATTTTTATTCTTCTTCTTTTGTCAAAATCTGCTTGTGCCGCTAGGCGTCGCAGTCTATCAGATGATCGGCAACCGAGCCAGGGCGCGCTCAGTCGCTTCATATGCCGTGATGTTATGAAGTTTCAAGTTGTCCGTGACTCCTTCAATCCATCTTCTTCTTGGTCTTCCCCTGCCTCTTGTTGTTTCGATTTTCATGTTGTATGCTCTTGATGCTGGCATCGTTGGTTCCATTCTCATTAGGTGACCAAACCATTTCATTCTTTGCTTCTCAATAAATTTAACGATGGGTATGGTTCCAATAGTTCTTGTGATCACATCGTTTCTCACTCGATCTCTTCTGGTTTTATTCGCAGCCATTCTCAAACATCTCATTTCACAGGTGGTTAGTCTTCTCTCGTGTTCTTTTGTTAATGTCCAAGTCTGACATTGATAACCTAATGTCGGTATAAAGATTGTATTTATAATTTGTCTTTTTATCTCAGCTGGGACAGCAGGGTGTTTTAAAATTGGGGCAAGCTGGTATGCGACATTGTTGGCTTGTTGGATTCTTGCTTCAATCTCTCTGTCTATTTTACCATTGGATGTAAAGATACTTCCCAGGTATTTAAATTCTTGCACTTGTTTTAGGCTGTGATCTAGAATCTTTATGTCGATGGTCTGTTGCTCTCTACTTATGCTCATGACTTCTGTCTTTTCAGTATTGATCTTCATATGATGCTTGAGGCAACTGTCGTGTAGTAGGTTCATGTGGTCTTGCAGCTGTTTACTATCACTGTGAAATATGCATTGATCGTCGGCAAAGAGCAGCTCATTGAAGTCCTCCTGTTTATCGACATCTGTTGGTGTTATGTCTATTTTATTAATATTGTCCATAAATATTATGAAAAGTAAAAGTGATAATACACAACCTTGTCTTACTCCTGATGTTACTGGGAACCAGTCTGTGATGCCAGCTCTTGTTCTAATGGCGCTTTCACTTTGTCTATAAATAGCCCTAACACAATCTAAAATTGTTTCCATTTATACCGTAGTTTTCAAGAACTTTCCATAATAAATTTCTGTTTACTCTATCGAAAGCTTTTTCTTGATCTATGAAAGCGATGTTCATTTGATGTCTGTGTTCTATTGTCTTTTCGCTAACTTGTCTTAAAGCAAAAATAGCGTCAGTACACCCTCTTCCTTTTCTAAATCCGACCTGTGATGGGCTCAGGATCGGTTCTACAACGGATCTAATTCGTTGTTCCAGAATTTTGGCAAACATTTTTCCTACGTGGCTTAGAAGGGAGATGCCTCTGTAATTGTTACAATCTTGCTTATTGCCTTTTCTTTTCCAAATTGGGACTATAAGAGCTCTTTGCCAGTCTATTGGTACAATTCTTTCATTCCAGGCTTTCCTAAATATGTGGAGTAGCCAGGTGACTCCAATTTCTCCACAAGCCTGTATTGCCTCGGCTGATATTCCATCAACACCTGATGCCTTATTTTTGGGACTGCATCTGATTGCTTCTCTGACTTCTTGTTCGATTATTGTAGGCTGTTCCTCGTTTGTACATCTGGGTGTGAATGGTACTGTTTCCTCATTTCCTGTTACATTCAGAAGAGTCTGAAAATATTCTTTCCACCTTTCTCTGATCTTGCCCTCCTCATATATGGGTTTGCCTTGACTATCATTGACATATTCAGATGGCTGGAATGGTTCATCTCTAGTCCTCATTTTTGCAATGGTTTTGTAAAACTGTCTACTAGATTTAGCACAGATTTTGGTAAGATTTTCCCCATACATGATCCAGGATGTTTCCTTGGATTGTTTAATTTCTCTTGCAGATTGTCGCCTGGCAATTCTGTACTTGATATAATCGTCATCTGAGCGGGATCTTAGCCATTTCTTGTATTGCTCCTTTTTACATTTCACTGCTTTGTTTTACGTTATCATTCCACCATGCTGTTTTTTTCCTGAACGTTCCTCCTGTGTATCTAATACCACAGAGTGTTGTTAGGCAGTTCAGAAGAGTGTTCTTAAATTTTTGCCACGCAGCTTCCACATTGTCACTTGATGTTATTAGCTCAGCCATCTTCGCCGTCATTTCTGCCTGTACTTTTGCTTGGTTGTCTAGATTGCTTAAGTGTCTTATGTCAATCATTGAGGTACGTACTGATGTTTTTGGTTTTTTGTTAATTGTTGCTTCGCTTAGATATACGATCAGCGGTCGATGGTCTGTATTTAAAGAGATGTTAGGAATTACTCTTGCGTCTTTTACTAAGCTTCTTCTCTTTTGTCGATTTAGTATGTAGTCCAACTGTGCGGCCTGGTCTGGGTTGCTCCATTTATACCAGGTATTTATTTGGCTTTGTATATGCTGATAGAAACTATTGGTGACATAAAGGCCATGCTCTGCACAAAGTTCTAAAATACGCTGCCCGTTGTAATTGCAGACTTTGCTGTTGTCTGAGTGTGGCCCGATATATTCCTCCCACGGTGTTCGCCTCTGCCCTATATGCCCATTTAGGTTCATTTTTATTAACTTGTCCTAAATCTTTGTGAGGGTAAATTGTTAAGTATATTAATAAATATACAAGAAGAGATATGGTTTAAAAACAAGCGAGTGTACACTTGTTTTAAATGTATAATTTCCTTCTGTTTGTACCAACTGAAAGAAAAAAGAAAAAAAGTGACAATTGTTTTAAATGTATAATTTCCTTTTTTTTCCTCCAGATTCAGAGAGCAGAGAGAATAATGATTTGTCTTCGCTGAAGTTACAGCTAAATCCTGCAACAGTAGCTGCAATAATTGCAGCGCAGAAACCAGATAATGATTTGTTACAGCATAGCCAGGGTCCTGAGTCTGTACAAGGGTAAGTTACATTAAGTGTACAGTTTATGCTATGTTTTATATGTTGAAAGACATAAACAATTAGAGTAATATTAATATATAATGAAAGAATTGTATAAATGTTAACAGCAGAATAATGTGCTATTACTAGGCTCAATTGCCTGGCTTCACCCGGGTTAGTGAAAGTCTTATTCTTCCCTCCTCTAAGTCATCTTGGTCTCCACCGTTGCTCTATATAAAAGCCTAGTGGAAATAGGGGTCTAACTAAAATCCTAAATTTATTATCGCTTTTTCTACTTCATCTTTGTCTCCACCGCTGCTGTATCTTTCATCATTGCTCCTATGTGCACCCAAGGCATCCCCTGTAATAGTAACACCAGATTGGGAGACAGACAAATGTATTGTCTCAGATATACATAGATATATGATTTCATAGAAGATAACACAGCAAAATATAATTTTTCAAAATAACCTTTTCATGAAAAGCAATTCAAAAAATATTAAAAGGATATAACTGCAGCAAAAGTTTAATTTTACTGATTGTCACAATAAATAAAGAAATGCACAATAACCTGGGCCACCAAAGGGGCGGTTAAATTAAACATTGTAGTCATAATGGCAAATAAAAATGTAACCCGTCTATTTGTCACAGATTGGGAGGAGTTAACGCTTCATTTATAATAAACACACAAAATACAGAAATGGTTTGTGATTTGTAGAATAAATTTTTATTAAATTTTTTGTTTATTGACAGAGTCATGCTTCTATAATTGTCAGCTGGTTTTTTTCGATGTCTGTAATAAATAACTTATATGTTTAAGACCTTTTATAGTCAAGACTGAGATAGATTTTACCATTCTTTTGCCATTACAGAGGTTCTAGAGAGATTATGAATTAAAAGAATTACTGAAATAATAAAAAAAAAAA